TCGTCTTCTTGCGGTCGTCCCCGGTGGCCACCTCGGCCAGGTATCGGAAGTAGTCGCCCTTCATCTTCAGGTAGAAGACCTTGCTCTCGGGATCGCTTGCCTTCTTGATGAGATACTTGTCCAGCAGGGCCAGCACGTTCTTGCAGACCCCGTTCAGCTCCCGCTCCACCTTCTCCCGGTACTCGTTCACCAGCTGCGCTTTGTCGTCGCCCTCTTCGGTTTTGTGCTCGATGCTGGAGATGACCCTCCACGCCGAGCGCTGGCAGCCCACCACGTTCTTGTAGGCCACGGACAGGAGGTTGCGCTCCTCGTTGGACAGCTCGTCCCCGTGCTCCACCACCGCCTTCATGAAGTCTGCCATGTCCTCGTAGCGCTCAGCCTGCTCGGCCAGCTTGGCCTTCTGCACCTGGTGGTTTCTTGCCATGGCTGGGACGGGTGCGCAGCGCGGACGCTTGGGCAAGGAGCGGGGCCGGGAGCCGACGGAGCCTCTGCCGAGCCCCGGCGCCGGGATTCGCTTTTGGCTGAGCCCCGGAGCCTCGAGCGAGAGCGGGAGGAGCCAGCGAGGGGTGTGGGGGGGGGAGCCGGGAGTGGCCGGGACCGCCTCCTCCTCGGCTTCCTCCCCGCCGAGCTCAGCCTTAAAAGGCGAATGGCGGTGACTCACCCTGGGGAAGGGGCGAGGGGGCCGGCACCGCCCTGCGCGCCCCATGGGTGCAGCACCCATGGGTGCCCCTGGGGTCCCCCTTGCACCCAACACCCCCATCCCCGGGGTTGAGGGAGCACCCAGCCCAGGGCTGTAGGCGCTCGGGAAGGGGTGCGTTATCACTGCGGGGGTACGCAGGGATGGGGTGGGTTCGGCTCCTCCATCCACACCCAAGCAGAAGTGGGCCACGAGGTGTGCCAGGTCGTGAAGGCGGTTTCCTCCTCTTCCAACCCCCCCCGCTGTAAAACTCCTATCGCTGCCGGTGATTAACGCGCCAGTAATTGCGAGGGCTGGACCGGCAGCTCCGTATCCCCACAGCTGGGGAAAGTGGGGCAGAAAACCTCAGCAACGCACCCAAGGGACAGCCCCAAAGCAGTGGGGACCAGCCCGACACCCCACCCCCCCCCAGAGCACCCCATGGTGCTGTGAGCCCGGCTCCATCCTCCACCATGGAGCACCCCCCCCCCAGCCCCACCGGCCGCTCCCCTGCACCCCAGGGCTGCATTCCCCAGCGCAGCCTCTCCCCGAGGCCTGTTCCCGTGTCCCCTGCTGTAAATGAGGGGTTCGGGTCGGGGGTTTTGGGTCAATTTGCCGGGGTTTTGGGCCCAGCTTCCAACGGGAAGCGCCGCCCCGGTTGGGATCCGCGCTCCGCGTCGCGCTGCAGCTTCACCCCGCTCCTGTCCCGGCTTGTCGGCGCTCGCCGGGCGCTGCCGGGGCTCCGGCCTTATCGGCGTGCGGGAGCCGTGCGGGGAGCGCGGGGTGGGGTGGGGCGGGCGCCGGCGGCAGCAGCCGCAGGTTGGGGCCTTGGTTGGGTTTTGCCATCACCGGGACTCGGGGCTTTACTGACCCCAGCAAACACCCCCCGGCACCAGCATCGCCCCCCCGCCCGGCTCCCGCAGGGTGGGTGATGGAGGAGGATGCTGGTGATGGAGGACGCTGCGGATGGAGGGTGCGAGAAGAGCCAGAGATGTTTTCTAACCACACACGGTGAGCTCCCACCCACCCCAAGGGGGATCTGGGGCTTCCCCCCCCCCCCAGCCAAGCCTCGGGGCACACGGTGGGGCTGGGGTGTCCCTGCCCATTGAGGGGCTCATGTGGAGCATCACGAGGGTGCTCGGTTCCTCCAGACCCCCACAGCCCCTTTGTGCGCCCCCCTCGGCTCTGCACCATGTGCAGCACCTCACCGGCAATTACAGCTCCTTCCCCAGCTGAGCAGGATCCACCCTGGGAGCGGGTTACGCCCCAGAGCTGGGGAAAGGCGTTTGCCAAAGGAATGGGCACACAGGAGACCATTGCCCCTCTTCCCCCTGAGCAAACCCATCTGTCCCGGGTGGCAGAGGCACCGAGAGCTTCAACCGAGCACAACAGCGCCCATAGAGGGGCTGGGGGGCAGCCGGATGGACCCAGCCCTCTAACACCTCCCCCCCGCAGTAACACGAGTCAGGAGCCTCCCTCTGAGCCCACAGCCCCTTGAGCAGCAAAGCCAAACGTGGTCGGGGTCTGCAGCGCCCAGACCCGGATCCAGAACCTGCCCCTGCACCAGCCCGGTTGCCCTGGGGCTGTTTAATCCCGGGGTGGCTCTGCTCGAGAGGTCCCCAGGGGGGTGACCCCCGGCAGGACCCCCCTGGATGGGGCGTGCGATGGCTCAGGCTTGGCTCAGGCAGCCCCCGCCGAAGGGGCTGAGCCGCTGCCAGGTTTTGGCTGCAATGGGCTGAGAGGAGGCTGGAAGCGCAGTTCTGCTCTACCGGTTTTGTGCGAGTCCCTGGGCGGGTGAAGGGAAGAGCCTGGGATCGCTGTGAGAGGCTGCAGCAGCATCACCCCGCGGAGCAGCCATGGTGAGGAGCAGCACCAGGAGGTGAATCGCCACGCACCGAGGGGTACCCAGGGGAGCCCAGCCCAGCGCAGGCCCCCGGTGCCCTGAGCAGAGCCGGTGGCGCTGCCGCAGGGTGCCCGAGGGGCTCCGCGATGGAGGCAGGAGGCAGAGGATGCTCAGAGCCCCCCCGGGCACCTCCACCCCTCCAGTTGGACGCTGCCAGCTCCCAACGCTTCATCGTGGGGTGCATTTTGCCAACGGGTGCTCCTTGCACCCCCAGGCCCTGCTCCTTCCCCCAGCCCCGCAGTGGGGCTCCTGCCCTCCCCACTGCACAGGAGGGTGCAGAGCTCTGGGAGGCTGAGACTTGCCCCAAGGCCATGCTTAGTGCCACAGCTGAGTTCAGGGAGCTCCCAGCTCACGGTGCTGTGGCACCGGGGTGCCAGCGCTTCGTGGCTCTGCTCAGCTCCCCACCCCATGCAGCAAGTCCAGGCAGGAGCTGCAGGCTCCGTTCCCTCTCCCCACGGAGCAGCAGCGACACCAGCGTACAGGAAAGAGGAGAAACCTTTATTTTGGTACAAAAGTCAAAGGCAGAGATAGATGGTGAATCCGACCGGGCTCTATGGTGGGCTGGGGCAGGCAGCTCCCAGCCTGGCCTGGGCTGCAGCCCCCATCAGGGTGCTGCGGAGCTCGGATCCCTTCTCCTAGAGCCGGAGCCGTGGTCAGATGAAAGGGGCAGGGGGGAGCTGCCTGGGTAAACTCTGGAGAGGGGAATCCTCCACCCATGGACACGGCTCGGAATGGGGCTGCTGGGGGTAGGGGGGGGGGAGCGATGCCACTGACTCGGCTGTAAACGCTCTGGCACGAAGCCTGCCCGGTTCAGAAGCCCGCTGGGGTGGTAACCGCTGCCTTCCAGCATCTACAGGAGGGGAGACACCGTCACTGGGGGGAAAGGCGGTGGTCAGCGGGAGCCGCTGGCCGTGCAGCAGCAGGAGACGGCAGGACCCCGTTATTGCACTCGGCTGTTATGGCTTTGAGCTGCGGGCCCGCGGCACGGCCTTGGGAAAGCTTCGTTCCCCCGGGCACGGCCCCGTTCCCCCCTCGCTTGCGGCGGGAGGGGGGGAAGGCGCAGCCCTGGCGAGCAGAGGCACTCATGGTGGTCATGGCTGTAGTGTCGGGTGCTGCCCGCAGGGTCCTGGCTCCCCACGGGAGGTGGAGGGCTCTGGGCTGCCAGGGCTCTTGATACTGGGTCAATGAGAGGAAGAGGAGAAGGGAGGAAGAGAGGGTTAGTGCTAGAGATACACGTGTGAGGAGCAGCAGGGAGCGGAGCAGAGCAGGCGCAGTGGCAGAAAGGGGGGGCAGTCAGGATGGAGAACACTGGTGGGCACAGGCAGGGAGAAGGGACTGCAGGGGCTCGTGGGGTGCTGTAGGAAGGGAGAGGGGCAGCGCTGCTGCCCACAGGTGAAGCAGGGCTTCATTCCAATGTGCTTTGAAGGAACTTCCCATGGCACGGTAAAGGAACCTGGTGCTACAGACAGGAAAGCAAAGGGGAAGGTTGGGATTGCCTGAACCCCAGCACAGCTCAGAGCTGGGACTAGAAATGTGCTCCAGGCTCCTAACACTAAATCTGCATCAAGTGGGGGCTTCCTCCAGCCCATCACGGCTCCACCGAGCACAAACCACCTCCCATGTGCCTCCCAGCAAGCACTGGGCCTCATCAACGCTCAGCCCCAGCATTCCCCAAGCCCCACCATGCACACGCCTCGTACCAAACCCAACCCAAGGCTGGCTGGAGCCATCCCTCTCCTCCGGCCGAGGCTGAGGGCAGCCCCTCTGCCACGCAGCCTGCACCAAGACAGCACTGCCCAGGGCTCGGGGTCCCTCCCGCCGGTGGGATGCCCATGGAGGGGGGGTGGGATGGACACGGCCCATGGATGTCTACACAAGCGGAGGGTGATGGGCTCCTGGAGAGAGCTGCTCATGCAGTGATGAGATGGGTGGCTCAAGTGGATGGCAGGGAGATGAAAGCGCTTTCTTACCAGCCAACCCTCAAGGCAGGGCTAACATCCAGGGAGGGGGCACGTCCCGTCAGGCTGTGCAGGAAATGGCAAAGTCCTGGCAGGCGTCCTCCTGGGGAAGACACCAGAGATCATGAACCTCAGCATCCCCTGCTCCGGCCTGGGTGAGACACAGGGATCTTGGACCACAGATCCCGAGCGAGGTGGGGTGGGAAAAGGAGATGGCTCCTGCAGGAATGGGAGCAGGAGTGGGTGAGACCCTGCCTGGAGACACGGGCCAGAAAAAAACCCTCACTCCAGCAAGAGGCACGGCAGCACCACTGCTGCTGAGCATCGCTGAGCATCCCTCCCAGCCCCGTCCTGCAGGATGGGCCTGGGCCTAATAAAGAGTCCGGCTGCCACCTGACGGCTGTTCGAGGCTCAGACATCTGCCCTCTTCTGTCTTAAAGGAAGAAAATCACCATGCAAGCAATTAACTCTTTAAAAATATACTTTTATTGAGTAACAAAGGAAACTGGTTTAAATTAAACCAGGAAGGAGCCTGGCCCCGGGTCGCACCACCCGCACTGTCCTCACTCCCCAGCACCAGACCAGCCTGGCCCCCCTTGCCCCTCCAAGAGGCTCTTCCAAGGCCCCGCTGGGAACATCCCTGGGGATGGAAGGGCCTCTCTGGATGCAACGAGATGGCAAAGCAGCACCGGGAACCTCCCTGGCCATGCACTGGGATCCAGCAGGAATTCAGCAGCCACCACCTCAGTGGAGGAGAAGGGGGAGCTGGTGGCCACAACGAAGCAGCACCAAGATCTCCTTGGAGCCAGCCAGAAATGTGAGGCCAGGGGAACCTTGTGCCTCTGCCGTGCCCCAAAGCTGCAACACACAAGGCTGGTGAGACTGAGGGGGGTGGTCCAGAAATGTGCTGCCTCTGCCTGAGGTTGAAACACCCACACGTGGCCCATGGAAAGCCGAGCAGGCAGCTGGATGCTGCAGCCGCTGCCCTGGTGCTAACATGCACAACGCTACCTGCCCCCAGTACAAAATGTTCTACATAGAAAATAACCCTACAAATTGTGCAAAAATATCCAGCAGCTTTTAATCCCATGATTCAAGTATTGCTCACAAGGCCTGCGATTCCCCCCTGCAAGCTCAGAGTCCCACACCTCCCAGCTGTAGCCTTGGCAAGCAGCATCTCACGAGGAGAGCCACAGAACACTGCGTGTTTCTTCCTCCCCATTGAAAGGGGACTCATCTGAACTTGGGTCCTGGCTGCAAAACGTTGTCTCACTGAGTGGCAGGGTCAAAACACAACGAGTTCTTCAGCACTGCCTCAGTGACCAGCCAGGAAACACGACTGAGAGCAGGCGGGACACGCAGCCAGCTTCCATGGGTGCTGGGAGCCAGAGTCCTCCCGGCTCCACAGCCCCAACTTACCAAGGCACAGCAGCTTCTGGGAAGGAAAAGCTGCCCCAGCAGTGGCCGAGGGGAGAACCTGGTCACTGAGAGACACAACAGCCCTTCCATGTTGGCACAGGGGAGCAGGACACGGATGTAACAGGGATACAAGGGAACTTACACCTGCACCATTCCAAAAGATGAGGCGTGACAGCCCAGTGGGAACCATTTCCCTGTCCCACCTCTTTCCTTGGGGCAGGAAACACAGTGACCCCCTGGAGCAGACACTCCAGGCTCAGAGGTCTGGGGGCTCTCCAGACCTATCTGCTTCCCAGGGGCAGCAGGGACCCCCTGCTTCCTGCACGGGTCCTGCATGCTGCTGGGCAGCGTCAGTCCAAGGTCCAGAGAGGCCACATCACAGTGAAACAAATCCACCCAAAATAATAAATAACGCTTCAAAAAAGGCAACTTTTGGCTCGAGTGAGTCTCTGGCAGCTCTGTGGCACAGGGCTTCCCACCCGAGGCTGGGGAGGTGGGAAGAGGAAAGGTACTGGTTGGAGCAAGGTGCAGGCGCAGCAGGCACTGGGATACACCGCAGCACGGTTAGGGGATGCCTCCTACCATGCTGGTGTCAGTTTTGGCTCCAAGGGATGGGATTTCACTCTTAGGACTGGACGGGGTCCCGATATCTGGCTGGATAAATCCTCTTCTGTCTATCAAACTGGAAAACAGGAAGGGAAGGGTGCAAGGGAGAGCAGTGAAGGAAATGCAGACTCCACAGAGACTCAGAAGCCACAGGGAGGGCTGTCCTCGTGGGAACGGCTCACCAAAGTGTCACTGGATAACACAGCTTCCTGCCCATTACACAGACCACAGACGTATCACACAAGCCACCAAACAGCCATGAGGCAGTTCTGGGTCGCCACAAACCCAAGTGGAAAATGGCAAAAGGAAACAATGTGAATGAGAAAAAGAATTGGAGTAAAACCCTGTTCTCCCCCCCCTCAACCTCCCAGCAAAGAGCCTGGCTCCTTGAATCCACAGATTTCCCATCTCCGAATGGCAGCACTGGCATTTAGGCACCTCTGAATCCAACAGAAAGGCTGGGGGCATTTCAGGTGTAAGTATAAAGCACTTTGATTGTAGCTGCATACCCTCAGACACCCTCCCCTGCTGCTGTGCTACACTGAGTTGGCACCTCCGAGATGCTCCATGTAAATCCAGATTGGATCCACTCACTAAACTGGTCCCAAGGATCCCTACATGCCCCAGGAGGCTGAGGGCTCTAAGTCAGTGTGCAGGCCCTCAGCTGCAGCACAGCACAAGGGACACGGGCTTGACTGCCCACTTGCACCCTCTTGTGACAAAGCAGCGACAATCCTGTGCTGCAGGTACCCGAGTGTCAGGCCCAGACCTTCCTGACATCTGCCCACCTTTGCCTGCGGTTTAACCTCGGTTCTGGTTAAGTCCAGGTAAGGATTTGGTAGGATGCTGCTCAGCATTACAGGTAATGTAAGTGTTGGTGAAGGCCAGGGTCTCTGCACAGCCTGCTGTGGGTCTCTGCTGCCTGCTTGGCAGGATGCTCCTCAGAGGACAGGAGGAAAACCATGTCCTAAGAAGTGCTGCCCCTCCTGGTATTTGCCCTCTGCTGCCGTTACTCTCCCCTTATTGAATCACAGGATGTGTCTGATCTGTGAGCTCCATAAAACAATTACAGTGACCGAACTCACCAAGCTCAAACACAGGAGAAGCAATAGGATCTCCCACTTATACACATCCCCAGCCTTCCTCTGCGGAGGCTGGGGAACTGCCTCCTCAAAGCAGATGTGTCTGCGCTGTCACAGTCTCCCTGAACAGTGATGGATCTGTCCTTTCCAAGACCCCTCTCACAGAGCAGGATGCAATTCCCAACGCCTTGGAGGGCAAAGGCTCTTACCTGGGATGGAAGGGTCCACACAGCACCGCACAGCAGTTTGTGAGGATACTTTTATGGCTGTAGGGATTGGCAAACTCTGAGCCCCTCTTATTTGACCAGGACCCTTTGATCTGAAAGGGAAGGGATACACGCAGATTAAGGTAGGAAAGAGGTGACAGCAGATGATTAGAGGATAATGGACTTGCTTAAGAGGCAGAAGAGGTTTGCCTTACTGCAAGCAGGGCAGCTGCAGAAAGGCAGCCAGAGGAGACAGCAATACGCTGCTCCTGCCTCTGCCAAGGCTCGACCTTGCAGCTAGAAAGCTCCAAAGCTGTGCCCTCCCCGTGCTGCAGGGCACCCTGTCAGTGCCACCAACACCAGCCTCCTCCTCTTCCTCCTCGCTGCTCTCTCCTAAGCTGAAAGCTCACCAGAGCAGGGCTCTGCTGGGCTCCTCAGGCTGAACAAACAGCAAGGGGATCCCCAGGCCACGCTGCAATGGGAAGAAACAATCTCCTCTGCCCCCACCCTGAGCATCTGCCACTGGGACTCTCAATTCCGAAGCCCTGGTCACATCAAGCACAGGCAGACACGGGTGGGCAGATGCTGTACCCGGCCCCAGGCCCCTGCCTGCAGTGAACCATTTACCACCACGTTTCCTCCTTTTGTTTTTACTTCCTCTCCCCAGCTGCAGCATCAAGCTGGCAACGTGGGCAACGCAGGCAGAGAGGCCACGAGCCACGTGCTTCAGACCTGGTGCTCTCTGCACTAGGGTGCAGGCTCCATTAGCTTCACCCCCATGGGCTTGGGCAGCCTCTGAATGTGGCAGAAGGGTGGAGAGGAAAGGGGGAAAAGAAGTAAAAAAAGGATGCAAAGATGCCTTCTGCAGTGCTGGGAGCCTCCAGCTGGTGCTGCTGGTACAGGTACTTCTGGCCAGAAGGGTGAATTTTGATTCCAGGACCAGACAGATCCTGCTTTTCTGTACAATCTGCCCCGCTCAGGGTGCTCATTTGGTCCTTGGAGTCTGCAGGCTTTAAGGGAGATGCCTGTACATTATTTGCCTACTAGACATGAGGAACTGATAGAGACAAAGGGACTTGCCCAGGCTCTCAGAGGAAACCTGTGGTTATGCAGGATGCTGAATTAAGCTCGCCCATGTCCCAGGCTAACACCCAGATGAATCTCTGGGGCCAGCCTTCCTTGTTTCATCTCAGAACTCCTCATTCTAAGCCAGGCCACACAGACTGGAAAAAGCACACACGTGACCTTCCAAACAGCGTGACCCCCACAGCCTGACACTGCCAAGCAACACGGGTGGCACAGACCCCTGCTGCTGTGTGCTGCTTTGCCCTTAACGCTTTGGGCACAGGCTGTTTGCTCTGCAGCGGATTATCACAGGCAATGCAGGCAGTGTGCCCTACTGAGATACTGCACTGAGGCAGGCAGCCAAGGATCCCCTGGAAACCTCACCTCTGCTTCAGGAAGGACCAGGGCTGGCCCTGCAGAAGGACACACATCCAGGTACTTACATCTTCGTTCGTTGTCAGGTTGGAGGCAACTAAATAAGTGTGAAAACCTGAGAGGCCCAAAATAGACCAGACTGAGAAAAAGCAAATCACCAGCTCCAGCACAGTGCAACAAGAGTCAAGGAAGCCTCAGGGAACAAAACCATCCTGCAAAGAGGGGCAGAGGACTCTTCTGGGAGGTGTGGGCTGCGGTCACAGACACTGGGACAAGAGAACATCCCAGCAAGGTTCCCATTCCCTGTGCCATTCTGCAGGCATCCATCCACTAAGGCACAGCCCGCTCCAGCTGCTTCCCTTTCCATGTAAAGTTGCAAACTGGGAAACAACTTTGCCACCCATCCCAACGCAGGGGTGATGAATTAAAGGTCTTCCCATTTGGTAACGCTATCAGCATGCAGATGAAGGGGTGTCTGCCTGCCCCAACCACGTAGCGAGGGGACTAAATTAAGTTGTGGGAAGTACACCAGGGTGACCCCACAAAGAGCTCCCTGCATCTCCTGTTACACGATTGGTGCTGCTGCACCAGTGCTCAACAGTCTGAGCAGCTGATGGCATCAGAAGGATATCTTGCAGGTGTTGTCTTCAGAGTGGTGAGGAATCCATCTCTCTGAGAGCCTGCAAAGCAAAACAGGACAAGGAAGAACATCCCATCAGGCAGCCTTGCACCTCCAGCCAACACGTCACTCTTGAGCATGCAGCCACCCCACTGGGGCTGTATGGATCTGCCTGAGTCTGGAACTGCAGAAATGGCAATGCACAGACACAGCTCCAGGAGATGTGGGGCTGTCACCATCCTGGTTCACCCAACTTCCCAGGTTAGGAGCAGATGCACCCTTCAATTCCTTTGCTCTGGAGGGGATAACCCAGTCACAAGCTCTCCAGGTCCCTCTGCAGTGAAGCGCAGGGTGGGTTTGAGGCTCTCTGCAGTTTGAGACCCCCGTTATTCAGACCACCTGCACCAAAAAGCCTCATCTAAATCAACCAGACCCTTCCCACGCGCTGCCCAAGAGGAACAGGGACCCAGTGCTGCCTCAAGTCACTCGTGGCCAGGAGCGTGGCACGTGGCGCCGCTGGTACCCGTGGTACTTACGCAGGGTGAGGTGGGTGACGACACAAGCGAAGATGAAGGCTGTCAGGAAGGAGAGGGAGAGGATGAAGGCGTAGAAGTAGCGATAGTTGCGCTTCCCCACGCAGTTGCCCACCCAGGGGCAGTGGTGATCAAACCTCTCTGAAACAAAGGGACAGGGTGAGAAACTCCTGCCACCTTGCAGGAACACAGCAAACTCTGCTGAACCTCTGAAATGCCCCATCCCTGGCAGGGTCCAAGCCAGACTGGACTGAGCATTGGGTGACATGGTCTAGTGTGAGGTGTCCCTGGATGACCTCAAGGTCCTTTCCAACCCAAACCATTCTTGAGTCTATGAAAACCAGAGGCTTCCACCCACCACCCTGAGACCAGAACCTCCCTGCTCAGCAGGAAGTTTCAAAGAACACTGCTGTCTCCTCACATACCCTTTTCATCACCAAAGGCCAAACCTTTCCTCTCGCCAAACCCTGCACAAACACAAGCCTTGTGACTGGTAGCACCTAGCATCACTGAAACCGAAAAGGAACAGGAAAAGGGCAGCAGTTTTTCCAGTACCTACAGCACCGGGTGCTGCTCCCTCTCTGCCCATCGGCTTCCCCTGCCTTCTGCAGGGCACAAAACCATTTTCAAAGTGATAAAGATATGCCTCTAAACCCACAGGAACGGCCTGGGAAGGCAGGGCAGGTGCAGTGTGGCTGGAAACACTCCCCATGAGACTGCCTTCTAATGAAAGGGCTGCGTTTCAGACTAACTGCTCTGTATGGGACACCAGCGCAAGCAAAGCCTGTGGCACATAAAGCAGGCACATGCCTGCTCCCCTCCTCTTCAACCAGTGCCTCAGCCACCGCTGCTCTCCAGTGCAAGGAAGAGTCACAGCCACCCATGGCTATGCTCAAACACAGGACACTTGGAAACACCCAAACTATGCCCAAACCGGAACCTTGGGGTCCTGCAACTGTTCCTCAGGCTGCCCTGGAAGACAGCATAAACCAGCCTCTGCCTCCACATGATACTCGACCAGGAGCAACTGCACAAGGAGTAAACTCTCTGGGCATGCCCCTAAACCACACAGCACCCTGCTGCCAGCTCAAGTTGCTCCAGTGCAGTCAGGCAGTGCTGGGAGCCCCCCTGCAGCTGCTGCATGCCTGCATGGAGCCATCAGGGGCTTTTCTTCAAGTCTTTGTTCATTCTCTCCTGCCCCACCATACTCAGAGAGGATCCAGAAGAGCTCAACCAGCATCTACGGTGGTGCCTCTGCCAGCCTGGTGACAGCAAGGCCACAGACAACAAGAAGCCATCAGCAAACCTCGTGTTTGGTGGAAACCTTAGCTGCACTGGCGCTGCTTTCATTTTAAACAGGAAGAAGAAAGAGCACTCAGTAACTAATCATAGAATCATAGAATAGTCAGGGTTGGAAAGGACCTCAAGATCATCCAGTTCCAACCCCCCTGCCATGGGCAGGGACACCTCACACTAAACCATCTCACCCAAGGCTTCGTCCAACCTGGCCTTGAACACCGCCAGGGATGGAGCATTCACAACCTCCCTGGGACACCCATCCCAGTGCCTCAGCACCCTAATCCTTTACAAGAAGCAAAAGCAAGCTGTCCAAGAACACAGAAGAGGCTCCCCCAAAAGCCACCAGCACTTTTCTGGGCTTACCAACACAGTTGTCACAGACGCTGCAGTGAGAGGTGCGCGGAGGGCGGAACATTTTGCAGGTGTAGCAGTACTTGAGCTTCACCACGTACTTGTTTATGACCACTTCCATGGTGCGGGCGGGCGGGCGGTACGTGGAGGTGCCCATGCTGTCTGCAGGGGCAGGGAGGCATGGTCAGAGCAGTGCAGGTGAAACCCAAGCCCCCAAACACCACCCAGCAGGCAGGGTAAGGGATCGGCATCTCTTGCTTTTAAGCAGAAGCGAAGAGGCAGCTCAGCCTACAGGGTTTGTTGCAGGGTAGGCAGCCAGAAACTCCAGTCAGCTCCTCGCAGCATTATTTATGTCCTTTCCTGGTCTGTTCAATAGCAGGGATGCCAACAGGAAGTAATATCTGCCCAATGCTTTGAGAACATAATAAATAGCGAGCATCAAAGCAGCAGTGCCCGGTAACACCAACTCATCTCTGCATCTCTAACGGATCACAACACAAGGAGGCAACAGAATCTGTTAACACACCCGTGGCTCCTCCTCTGCTGCAAGCACCCAGGTTTCAGGAATCAGAGTAACCTCAGCAGAAGCCTCCCCTGCCACCACCAGCACACAACTTGCCAACCCACAGCTGGAGCCAGCAGCTCAAGAGACTCATTTCCATTGCCACGAGGGAGGACAGTGAGCAGGTCTCCAGTGCTCCAGGCAGACTGCACTGCAATTTGACATGTGTGTGTTAGCAGCACAAGAGGATTCAGCCTCTAAAGTTCCAACTTGAGGGGTTTTAGGGACACAGCATGTGTGTGTGCTGGCACTTCATTATTCACAGGGGACTGGCAGTTGGAGACTGCTTCTCTGCTCAGCTGAAGAGTGATGCGGAAAACCTCTGCATCACACTTGCAGTGTTGGAGGTTATTCCTTTATTTCCCTCTTAGAAGAGCCCTTTTCCAACTCAGGGGAAGCCTTTGCAAATAGAGATGTAACAGTGAGTGTTAAAAGGATAAGAAGTGGATTATATGAACAGTAACAGCTGGCACATCAGGCAGCATCTGCAGCCAGATTACTGCTTGAGGCGCTTATAAATAGAAACATGGATCACCACTCTGAGATTTTAAACCCATTCTTTTAGTCAGCTGTAGAATTACTGCCTTGCAACTGTCTTCAAAGGGGCACATTGAAGCTGTCTCACATTAGCTTTGCTAAAGCATTTGATACTCCAGGTCACACCGACAAGTTCTACGGATGCTGGAGGCAAACACCTTCCTGGCCACCACCAAAGCAGTGTGACGCTGTGGTTTTCAGATGGGGACAAACACTAGTGTACTGTTAGACACCATCACAATCAGACGACCTTGCAGCACAGCAGGCTCAATGCCAAATCATAATCTTAAGAAGCATTCATGCCTGCATTAATTATCCCACGTCCTCAGTGCTGGTGTTTTGCAGGGGATGGTACAAGGACAGATTCCTCTCAGGTTGGACAAGGTTCAAAGGAACTGCTGGCCACTCTGGTGTTGTCCTGAGGGCAGGAACAGGCACAGCCATGAGCTGCTGTCCAGGGATTTGCCTGGGGAAGTGATGGAGCTGAACAGCAACAAACCCCACTTCTGCTTCTCTGCAGAAACTCTCTCTGAAGCACTGCCTGCTGTGCTACAAGAGCTTGGTGCACCTCTCTTACCAGGACTCCTAAGACACTGTCAAGCCTTACAATGCGATACTCTGCTCTCTTCTCCCCCTGGACAACTGGTCAGGAGGCAAGGGACAAGAAAGGAGCCCAAAACACACGTGTGCACACAGGCATGCGCTGAGCAGACTGAAGAGAGGGAACAGGAGTCTCACCGATCCGCTTTTCCAGGTCTGCAGCCTCACTTGGCGTGGCTCGGGGCAGGATACCTGGGTCTCTGAAGCTGGTCTGCAGCAGGCAGCTGATGACAAAGAAGAAGAGGACGGCTGCAATGATGGGGATGGCCAGGGTCAGGTGAGTGGCAAGGAAGGGGCAGCTGTTGGGAAAACAAACAGAAGTTGCATTGTTACGAACCATCAGTACACATCTGGCCCTCAGCTATCATGGGGTAATGGGCTGAAGCTCTGCTGCTTTGGGGAGACCACTGGAACAGCAAGAGCCAGCCCAGAGTGGCACTGGAAAGACAGGGTCTTCACAGTACAAGCCCCTGCACGCAACCTCTTTGCCCTTCACGAGTCCCAGGATCAAAAACCTGACCCAAAGCCTGGCCACCTTCTACACCAGCAGCATCAAGAACACCTGGAGACACCCCCCCCAAGCTAAACACGGATCAAAATCAGCATGAACACGATCCCATTTGGTCCGACCGTGAAGCTGAGAGGGACCTTGGCTTCGATTCAGCACAGCTCGGCTGTCTCCGGATAACTCGCGTGCCCTTCAAGCTGTGCCAGATGTTTGGATGAGGGCACCTTCCAGCACTGACACCAGGCATTTAAGCAGATAATGCCTGCTCCTGGGCCTGCTTCACCATGAGCTGGGGCTGGTTTCCCACAGATGGGTACCAACAGGATCACACTCTGCATCAAGGCAGCTCTGTTACTCACAGCACAACAGGGGAAGGCAGCAGAGGAACACAACTCTTCGCGTGGCAAGTGCTGGAGACCCGTCCTTGCTCTGCAGAGGGATTTGCTATTATAAGCACTGATAAGTACCCAGAGTGGAGCCCAGGCAGGCAAGCTGCTGGAGCCCTGGTGCCTGCGGGCAGTGCTAAGGCTCAGTAACGCTGAGAGGCAGTTTGAGAGGATTAAGCAACTTTTGTTTCAACTCCCAGGCTCAGCTGTTCAGAACAAAGCAGCCACCAAGCAACAAAATCCCTTCAGCTCCAGATCAACGCTGCTGCTGCCCAGGCCCTCGATCACCTCCCTGATGGAAGAACAGAAAGGTCTCTGGAATGAGGGATGGGAGCTCCTTGCCACCTCTTTCCTGGGAGACTCGCTAGAGCCCATTTCCCCTGTCAGGCAACAAGAATTCACATAAGCCTCATGAACTATAGATGCAGGCAAGATGTATTTGCTGTACATCCAGCAAACTGGAACCCATGCGATAGAAGCAAACTGCTAAAATAACAGCTTGGAAAGCCCCAGGGCATCTTTAACCAAGAAAGAGTGACTAGGCACGAAGGGAGGGGAGAGCAGATGTCCTCTGCTTGGCCCCACACAAAGCAGTCACTGTGCTAGTGCTGCCCATTAGTTTCAGATGCAGCAGAGAGACCTGTCAAAGGGGCACAGATGACACCGAGAAAGGAGCTTTCGCGTTGGGATGCCATTACCGCCTCCCACAGCTGCCTGCCTCTCGCAGCTCATCTGACTTCTCAGAGCCTCTAATCCGATCAAATAGCTTCATCTCCCCACCAGCAGGTTTGGGCAGCTTTACTCCGCGACTCACAGGGATAATGCTGTGATGTGAAGGCACGGATGAGCCCCCTGCTTCGCTCGGTGGCAGGAAAACCAAGCTCCCTTCCCTCCCGAGACAGGACAGAGGCAGGATAGCAGCCCTCAGAGGTGTCAATAACCAACTGCGCTCCTTCCCTTTCTCCTCCAGGCACCATAGCACTTAACCGGGTGCTCCTGGCTCTCCCCTCCCTTAGGGTCCAGGAGCAGGGAACTTCCCCAGGCCAGCTTTCCAAAGGGAAAGGGGACTGGGGGGAGATGCTCCCTCTTCCCCAGACACCCCTGCACAACAGGGGCAGAGCTCCAGTGGTCATCGCGGTGGGATCCCAAAGAATTCCACTGTTCATTGAGCGCCTTTAATAGAAACACTATTCCTGCTGCCTCTATGGACAAAAATCAGTCCAGGAGTGCAGCTCTGGACCAGTCCTCTCCTCTGTAGCAGGAGGTGCATTTAGATACTGGGGTGGTGATGCCGGGAGGATGTTAAACCTCTTCCCAGGGACAGGCTGAGGGGCCCCACATAAACACAGCTGGGGACAGGCAGAGGGGAAGCAGTGACTGCCTGAAAGCGGGTCTGGAGCTGCACAGAGGGGAACGGCTCAGGAGGATAAAGGATGGGTAAGGGATGGATAAGGGGTGGGCAAGGGACGGGTTAGGGATGGGTAAGGGATGGATAAGGGGTGGGCAAGGGACGGGTAAGGGACGGGTTAGGGATGGGTTAGGGATGGGTAAGGGATGGATAAGGGGTGGGTAAGGGACGGGTTAGGGATGGATAAGGGGTGGGTAAGGGACGGGTAAGGGACGGGTTAGGGATGGATAAGGGGTGGGTAAGGGACGGGCAAGGGACGGGTTAGGGATGGATAGCGGCGCTCACAGGGGGAAGCCCCCCCCCAGCCACGTCCCTCTGCCCCAGGAAACGGGTGTGACGGCACCGAACCCACGGCTCCCCCCAGCAAGAGCGGGCTTAAAGGAGCTGCTCGGGGACCGGCTGTGGGCAGCGGGGACCCCCGCAGAGGGTGGGGAGACGGGAGAGCCCCAGGGCGGTGCCCAGAGCCCCCGGCCCGGCAGCGCGGACTCACTCGAAGGCGAAGAAGAGCCCGCTGGTGGCGAGGATGAGGCCGAGGGTGAGGGCGAAGACTCCGCTGTGCCGCGCCAGCATGAGGCGGCCGCCGCAGTAGAAGCGGTTGCGGCCCGGGAACACCTCCCACTTCCGCCGTGGCCGCCGGGCCGCGCCGGGCCGCTCCGTGCCGGTGGCTGGCGGAGGCGGGGAGGCGGCCGTGGCCGGTGCCGGTGCCGTGGCCCCGGGCGGGATCTGCCGGTACTCGCAGTCCTTCATGGCGCCGGCCCGGCCCCCGCCGCCCGCCCGGGACGAGCCCGCCCTGCGCCGCTCCGCAGCGCCCCCTGCCGCCCGCGCCGCCCAACCGGAGCGCTCTCGTCCCGGGAGCACCGAGACCCCGCCCGTCCGCTGCCTGCTCCGTGTCCCAGCACCGCGGGTCCCGGTTGGAGCCGGGGAAAACGCCTTGGAAGAGAAGGAACGGGAGAGGCCCGAGCAGGTCCTGCAAGGCAGCAGGACCCTCCCTGCCATGAAGGGCGCAACGCAGCGGTTTCCCGATGGATGGGAATCTGATGGACACAGATCCTCGCCAGAAATAGTTGCTCAGCGGCAGTATTTCCCCTAGAAGACAGGAACCAGGATGCTCTCTCCCAGGAATGCTGGCTATCAGTACTAACAGCGGAGAGGGGGGTGGGATGCTGCAGCATCACAGCAAAGAGAACGTGCCCGGTTTGGACACAGCGACGGCTCTGCACGCTCCTACTGAGGAGTAACTCCTTTGTAACCGAGACTACAGCATCACTACACGTACACCAGGGCTTTCTTCAACAAGTGGGTTTCAGTTGTGACCAGTGCTGCTGCCCCGCAACCAGCCTGCACCAACGCGCCCCGCGCTATGTCCACGGCAAGAAGTTGCAGTGCAGAACCAGCCCCAGCAGCCAGTAGGACAGGAAGAATCCGAGGATGCATCTGCTGAGCGGGGTGATGGATCTGCAGCTCAGCAGCAGCCTCACCACGGGGTTTGCACAGGAACCAGATTTACCCTGAAGAGATTCCTCATAGCGAGGTGCAGAGGTTTGATCATCAGTCCCTTCACTCCGGAGTAAAGGTTCATATTCCTGAAGGAGGTGAGCGGAGAACCAGTACAGAACGGGAGAGGAGGAGTGGAGCAATCGGGTCAGCACCTGAGAACAAGCAGAGCACAAATCACATGGCTGCAGGTCTCTGCCTGTGACCAGCCACCAACCTGCCTCAGACTTCTGACAAGGGGCCCTGAAATACTCATGGTGCGGAGGTTTAGTACACTGAAATCAAACACCTCTCAGCTCAACCTGCTTTAACTATGACAACGTTTGTGTAAGCAGCCAAGCGGTCCCCAGGGTTTAGAGTCTTTGCCACTCCTTGCTGAACAGCTCGGAGCAAGGGCTGCAGCTTTAGGGGAGGCTTGAACCTCACTCTTCAACTGCTTTTTCACTGGAACACCCACCCTTCAGTGCCACTAGCAGTGTCCTAAAGACTGACAAACACTTCACAGGGACTAGTGACAGGTTCTGGCTCCTTTCATTGCCATCCATTAAGCTCAGCCCAACACAATGAGCCTTGTCCTCCAGCAGTGGCCTTACACACACATGTCAAATACCACCCAACACCAGCTGGACCCTTTGATCCCCATCCCAGTGTCCTCACGACACTGAAAACCTGGCAAGCTTCCCTTGGGAACTCTTGCTTTGGAAACTCCCTGTGCAGGCAGCTCCTAAAGAGGAAAGGCAAAGCTTTTGGTTTGCATTGCCCTGTGCTGCCCTGCAGCTGGGACAACCTCGGGCTGGGAAGATCACTGCTGCAGCCCCCATGGTACATTCCCCTCGAGAAATCACCCCTGTGTGTTGCTACCACCATCCTACCTGCACGTGCATGCAGAAGAACCCGAATGCCAGCAGGACCGTGGCATGGACCACATAGACAAAGACAGCGGGGCAGCAAAATCCAGCTCTTGGTTTATCCTCCTCTTCGCTCTTTCTTCTCTCTAAACCAAGAGTCAGGCAGTGCCGCGGGTTTGCACTGATGTAAGTGCAGGCAGCCCATGAGCCCAGAAGCGTGACAGGCAAAGCAAGCAAGAAATTTGGTATCTGTCTGAGCTCGAAATACCTTAGAAAGCCAACATTCCAGTAAGTGTCTTGAATATAGGAATAGGCCACAGGGACCTGCTGGGAGCACCAAGGAGGTTTAACCCCATTTGAGGCTGCCAGAGAATAGCCCTTGTCCACAGCCAGCTGGACCAGTGGCTTAGGAACGGTCTGCTCCAGGCTGGTTCCAGGATGACAGAACCTCACATAGGCATAATACTGAAATAAAGCAAAAGGTAGAAAAATCCCAGCACACATCAGAACCACGGAAGATACCACGCTGAGGAGCTGCTTCCACAACAGAGGGAGCTTTCTTACTGACCCTGAACCCACCTGGAGCTGGAGCGCAAAGCATTTACTGCAGGAGTAGAGAAAGAAGCCAGCATTAACAAGCCCGTTGGCACGCACCCCAGCCGCAAGGGAGAAGAGCAGTCCACTGAGCCAGCTCTGCCCCTTCTCCAGTTGCCACATGGCACTGAATGCCAGGAAGGCAAACATGCTCTCTGAGTAAGCAGCTGCCATAAATACATTGGCAGGGCTGACTGAAAAGAGGATGGCAGCGAGGAAAGCCACCCTGCGACACTGCAGCACGAGGCAGCCCAGCTGATACAGGCCAGCGGCTGCCAGGGCAGAGAAGAGGGAGTTGAGCAGCACAGCTGAGAGCAGCAGGCGGCTCCGCACACACAGCAGCCACTGCAGGGGCCACAGAGCCCCCTCGGCCACGGCTCGCAGGCTCAGGGGGTACAGTGGGAAGAAGGCACAGTTGTGCTCGTACAGGTAACCGCGCTCGGCGATGAAGAGGAAGTGCTCTGCGTCCCAGCGCGACAGCCCTCCCAGCAGCTGCTCCACCAGCACGTCCCACAGGCCAGGCTGGGCCAGGCGAGGCGGGGAGAAGGCGTCTGCAGCGTGATCGGGGATCAGGAGGTTGAAAAGAGCCTAGAAAAGAAGAGAGGATTGAAGTCCAGCACAAGTTTTGCACCCGACTGAAAGCACTGAGCAGGACGACCCCCGGGTTCCAAAGAAGGGGACAGGAGCAGCAGAGAAGCCAGGCTGAGGGGCTCTGTGATGAGGATACCTGTGAAAAGGTGCAGACACAATCTTTTGGGGCACTTACATCTGACCTGAATAAAGTTCTGGAACATACCCAGCATGAATCCCCATGGAAATGGACAGGGAAAGATGCTCAACCCCATGCTCAGGTACATCTAACCGCATACCTGCACTCCAGGTACCTCTGCAGCACTGGGGAGCCTCCTGTTCTACTGCATGTGGCATTATTGTCCCAGCTGACACACAAGGGAGAGGAGACAAAAGATTTTTCCCAGAGCAAACTGATGCAGAAGGCATCAGATGATTCCCAGCCCCCTTCTCTAGTCTCTAGATGCCCATCTCCTCTAAAGCTTGCTGTTTGCTTTCTGGAGCTGAGGAAGCAGAATGCACACCCTCTGCCTCCAGGAGCTTGTGGTACTGGCCATGTTTTAAAAGGTGAGAGAAAAACCCAGAAAGTCCATGAGATAGGAAGCACCTAACTTAATGCATTGTAATGTAGCGCCAAAGGAAAACATGCTTTGAAACCCCCAAATCCCCCAAAACCTCAGATGGTAAGTTTTGTAGCTTAACTACGTGTAGATTGGGATGAATCCCCTGCAATGAGTTCAGCCTTGGCAGAGAAAAAAGGCCACACTGAACAAATTGGGACTAAAAGACATACAAAGGCACTGGTTTACCATGAAGCACACATCTGGTCTAACCAGGGCTCTGGCACTGTAACATGGAGTGTTGCAGCTGATGGTTCCACTCCGTCCTACTCTGTGGTGAGTGGGGCTGCCACAACCTGCCAGCTGGCTGGGAGCCCTGCTGCTGCTGACCAGCTTTTGTAGAATCAGCAAACAGTTTGGGTTGGAAGGGACCTTAAAGCTCCTCCAGTCCCAACCCCTGGCACGGGCAGGGACCCCTTCCACTGGAGCAGCTTGCTCCAAGCCCCTGTGTCCAACCTGGACTTGAACACTGCCAGGGATGGGGCAGCCACAGCTTCTCTGGGCACCCTGTGCCAGCACCTCAGCACCCTCACAGGGAAGAGCTTCTGCCTAAGAGCTCATCTCAGTCTCCCCTCTGGCAGGTTAAAGCCATCTTTCTCAGGGTGATGTTGTTTCAGGAGGGCCATGGCTGCAGCCTGACTCCGCTGCCTGTCTTGGTACACACAGGTAAGATGGATGGAGCGAGCAACCATGCTCTCCCATGCTCAGAGAAGGATGTCTCTGGAAAGGAGACTCAGAAGGAACACACAGGAGGAGATTATTGTTCCTTTTCTATGGGTAAACAGAGACTGTAGCCTCTTGTGCTGCCCAACCAGCCTCTTGCAACAGCAGCACGAAAACACGTTAAGTTACATGGACGTAATTTTACTTCACAGCAACCTGCCCCTCTGAATGCAGCTGGTCTGTGGGTTCTCCACAGGAGGAGATGGTTTCCCAACCAGGCAGAACCAGCCAGCTCAAAGCACACTGAAAAGAGAAGCCTTGGAGCAGCAAACAATGGATGTCACAGCAGCTTTGGCTTGGGAACAGGAGACTTGCCTGCAGCAGAAGGGTCAGGGCTCTGCAGCGCACTGCAAACCACACCACCTCCCGGAGGTAGGGATCTGTCCTGCTCACCACCTCCATCCTGTGCTCTGAAGTTGCCTCAGTAGGTCACGGGTGCCATGGGAATGCTCCCTCTGGGTTTGGAAACCTGAGTTGATAAACAGAGGACAGACACAGAAAGGTATTTCAGCCATGTTAGTAAGTGATGTGCCTTTAGTTACTGTTAGGGACTTCAAAGAGCTGCAAATCTGTATGAACAAGTCACTTACGAAGGAAATCACAGATCTGGGAGATGATGCAGAAAACCTCTTTGATATTGTTCCTATTAAAAAACCCCAACCCTGACTTCTTACCCTTGGCCAGGATGCAGAGGAGAGAGGTGACTCTTGACTCTCTGCCCATTTCTTACAGGCCAATGTAAATCCTAGACACAGACAGGCCTCCTCAGCAGCTGCCTCAGCAGAAACACCAGCACCTCACGCCAGGCCCCTGCCAAGCGTCTACACGCACATGCAGGCTCCAGTGTGCTGAATGGGATTTAAACCTGGGCTTGTGTCGGGGCTTTTCTCTGGAATAGAGACAGAATTCAAATGTGGCCTCTGAGCGCAACATCTGTGTGAGCAGCTGCTGTGTGGGTGATGCCAGACACGCTCTCACCTCCTCCCGCTCCCTGCCCTGTGTTTGCCCTGGGAAGCCAAGGACAGCTTTATCCAGCTGCCTCCATGGCACCAACACCACAAGCTCCATCGGGGCAAGGCTGAGGTGCTTCCCCCCAGCCCTTCCATCCAGCAGCAGCATCATCTCCAGGACGTGACACTTGCACCACTCCACTCGCAGTATTCCAGTACTTTGGCAGGGGTCCTGGACTGTGGGGTGAGGGCATCTGCCTGTTAAGCGAATCACATGTGCTCAGGCAGCTCTTGTCCACCTCTTCCCTACAAACCTCACCTGCAAGATTTAGAGGGCTTTGTGGAGTCTCCCTGCTTTCATTGATGTTATATTCTGGATTGCTGTCATGGGACCAGCTCTGAAAGCACTTGGCCCAGTGCCATGGAAGGCAGTATCTGTTTGCAGCTCTTTAAGATAACACATTTCTTCCGTTAGCTCCCCAGCCACCAACTGCTTTTCAGTTTGAGAAACAGAAGACCCACATCTCGCTGGGTTCCAGTGACACCACATCCTGCACTATTTCCCACCTGCCATCCTTTTGATCCAGGGCTTTACAACACATAAAGACCCCCAGACAAATCACTTGATGATCCAAAACCACTCCAAGGTTTTCCTATTACCATTTCATCAGTGAAGGGAAAAAAAAAAAACCTAGCAAGTTAAACACTGCATGAGAGAGCAGAAAGCAAATCATCATCAGCGCTACAACCAAGATCTAAAGATGCTTTTTGGTAGCTGCAGTCCCGAGCCACAGGATAATGCTTTCTATTTAGCCACACACAAGCCTTTGGGCTTTGCTCATGTTCTCCGTTTGCTGCAGAGCATCCACAGCTACAGACAAAGCAGCTGGTGGGAGGCACAAGCTGCAATGTTATTTTAAGAGAGGGGATACCTCGGCCCAGCTGTAAATTCTATTAAAGCACATTCACAGCTGCAAAGCCTATTGAAGCACAGCAGCACAAATAGTCCCAGCGCTTGAAACACTTGTTAGGGAGCAGAGAGAGAAGCCTCCTTGCATGAGTGTGCCAAGGAGGCTCAGGGCAACCAGCTTAGAAAGCCTGTTCCTACCACGACGCAGCGCACCTTGTACTAGCACGGGGGGAAGGCTACAGAGAGCTGCAGCCCACAGTCAGCCTTCCGCTGGCGAACGGCGTCAGGGCTGGAATGGCTCTGTCCCAGCAAGCGCTGCCTGAAGGAGCACCTGCATGAACGGAGAGAGGACAGCGAAAGGCAAAAGTGGGTTAAAAAGGTGCAAAACCTTAACGGAAGGTGTCTCTGCGTTCCTCTTCGCTTTCGGGTGAGGAACCGCGCTCAAAGAAAGGACGCGGATCCCAACGGACCAGGCGCTGTGTCAATGATGTACACGGGGCCCGTGAAGCGCACTGCAGGCCGCTGGCCAGCCGGTGGCAGCAGGCACTCGCCCCAGCGGCGCTGCCTCCCTCCGCACACGCTGGGGCACAAGGCTCCTGCCGGAAAACGTGCTGGAGCACCGAGAGCGCGAGGGTTTGGGCACGTCCCGGTACTTCTCCAAGGCGCTGCAGGGTCAAGGGACGCTCCGGTTATCGCTGTAAACCCGTTCTGATGCACAGAAACACTGCTTTAGGAATCGCTTGTTTCAGGGGGTCTGGGCCTGGAGGTTTCACCCGCATCCAAAGGCAATGGGGGCAGTTCCACCCCTTCCTCCTTTGACAACAGCTCGTGTGTGTGTGAGCAGAAGCGGATTAAAGCCAGGACCTGACCGCTCGGTGCGGAGCCGCTCTGGGAGCTGGGTCAGGCCTAGGCATGACAACGCATGGCGGCCACTTCCCTCCTGCCTGGGCCATCGCACGCGGCAACGGCACAAACCGCACTCAGGCCAGCTCCGGGACTCCTGCTCCGTCCTTCCAACGGGACGAGGCCGCTGCAGCCGGTGACCAGCATTTAACCGGACAGAACGGAACCGCAGGGGCCCTTCCCTTGCTGAGGGACGAGCCGGGCCTGCACCGTGCGGCCTCTGGCTGAGCTGAACAGCGGCCGAAGGGCTCGAGTGGACATGGGGTGTGTGTGTGTGTGTGTGTGCTCCCCTCAGCACGGGTGGGACCCCCCGGACCCCGGTGCACCGAATCAACAGCTTGGACTGGAAGGGACCTCAAAGCTCCCCCAGCTCCATCCCTGCCGCGGGGGGGACACCCTCCACCACCGCAGGGTGCCCCGGGCCCCATGGCGGCGCTGGGCCCGGCCCGGCCCGGCCCTCAGGGGGGCTCCAAAGGGGGCGGAGCCTTTGTGAGGGGAGGGGGGATGAGGCCCCGCCCCTTCCCCCACCCTCGGCGCGCGCGCGGCCCCGCCCCTTCCCCCCCCCCCCACCTGAGCGCCCGGCGCGCGGCTCCCGCGCCGGCTCCATCCCACCGCCCGCTTCCGGCCCCGCCCCTTCCGGGGCTGCGCGCGCCGCGTCACGTGGCGGCAGGTAACACGTGTGTGTGTGTCGGGACGGGGAGGGCGGCGCCATCTTTGTTAAGGGCCTGTGGGGGTGCTGAGGCGCTGGCACAGGGTGCCCAGAGAAGCTGTGGCTGCCCCATCCCTGGCAGTGTTCAAGGCCAGGCTGGACACAGGGGCTTGGAGCAAGCTGCTCCAGTGGAAGGGGTCCCTGCCTGTGGCAGGGGTTGAAGCTGGAGGAGCTTTTAAGGTCCCTTCCACCACAAACCACTCGGTGATAGCGCGGTGCCGCCGCAGCAGGCGCTGCCTGCCAGCAGGAAGAGGTGTTAAGAGCTGGAGAGGCACCAACACAAACCGCGGCGGCTGCAACACTGGCACGAGCCTTTTGCCAAGAGGCATTAAGCAACACATCACAGAACAATAGGCTGGGAATAAGTGCGTGTTATTACATTAATTACTTACTGGTACAGGAGGGTGGGCAGGTTTCCCTCGGGATCTCCTCCACGTGCTGATGGAGGCAGTGTTGCTCTCACCCCAACTGCATGCGTTGTGCTGAGCCATGGCAGCAGCACATGACAGCGTGGGGCGAAGAGCAGCAGGTCTTTGTGCTTTGAAACACACCTTAGTGTCAGCCCAGGAACGAAAGAGGAGTCACTGAGTCTTCAAGGGAGACTCCTCAAGTGCTATTGATCGGGGCTTTGGCTTGAGAAGAACTCAAGGTTTCCCCTTGGAAAAGGGGCTGGGGTCAATGAGAGGCCTGTTTTTAAGAAACAGCTGCAGAAAGGGAAAGCTCTGGGTACAAATGAGGCCAAAGCATCGAGGATTTGATGCATTCGGGGCAGCCGAGTTTGAGATCAGGTGTGGCTCAAAGTACTGCCCCAGTTACAGTGAGCACAGCTCCTCACTTCACTAAGTCTTCACTGATGCTGGCTTAACCATTTGAGAAGCACACGAGGTCTGTGTGTGGTGCCTGCAAGCACTGGGAGAGCAGAATTACTCCCTTTGGATCAACCGGTTGTGCTGTTATCCACAGGCACCACGTGTGACTGTTCTTCCCCCCCCCCCCCGCCAGTGCAGCATTCACTTATGACTGAATTCACAGTAAGATGAGCACAGAAGCTGGACAGAAGCTGCTCACGTTACCTTCATCACCTGTGCTGCTGCGGTCCCTTCTGTTCAGGAAAAGAAGTGAGACGATGACGTTAATTCAGATGCAACAGAGCTCCTGGAACACAAAACCGAATTATCAGAGATGATGGGTTTAAATCAGCAACACTGTCACAGACCGGCAAAGTCCAGCACAATTCTTGCCTCACAGCTGGCTTTCCATCCAGTCTGTTTGAAAGCCAAAGCACCAGCACCGTTCCTGTCTCTTAAGAAATGCATTTTAAGGACTCTTCCTCTACCAGGCAAAGAACTCCTGCAATTCCTGCTGATAAACAGACCTTACAGAGAAGACTTCAGTTAGATTCTGGCACCATTACTCCCAAAGTTTAAGGAGCACAGCCAAGGGAGGGCTCCGGGATCAGAGAGCTTCCTAAGAACGGACTACAGCAGGATAAACCAAGGAGATCTTCTGAACAAAACCCATGTTTGCCTTTAAAAAAGCTTCTCTTTAACTGGCTCTTTTGCTTAAATGAGCTCTGTGCAGTTGGAGCCAGCCTGTTTCTAGGATCCTCTGAGCATAAAGCTTCAGGCTAAGTAAAAATGCCCACTTCCTAACCCCTGAGAAGGGGCAGATTTGCACCTGAAGAGCCTGAACTCTGGCTGTTTGCTGAAGGGCAGGCGAGCTCTGGCCGCTGGAAAACCCCGACTCTCACCACGCTTCCAAGAAAATGGGAAAAATGGGCAGGAATGGGAGTTTTCCATTCTAAAGACCTGGATGGGAACCGCCTTTCCCTTGTGAGCAGCAGCCTTTCCAAGCCTGTGAACTGCGAGCCTCCCTGCCATAGCTTCACCTCACGCTGCAGATCCTGAACCTAGGCAGCACTAAGCAAAACCTCCACCACTGAAACAAGCCGGAGCATCAGGGTCTCCAGGCACCACTGCACCACGCTGGACCTTTGAGGCCTCTCTGCTGCGTGGTAAGGAGCTGACCTACAACATCACCTCTATCAGCCCTGACAGCACTGAAGTTCCCTCCTCGTTCTGCTAATAAAGAAAACCCTTACAAACATCTTACCAAGATTTAATGTACATTTATTCTTAACACGTGGAACATATAGTATAAAGATTTCATACTGAATAAATGATATTCATTAAGCCAAAAAAGGAAAAAAGGGAGGAATTTACATCAAGTTTTTAGCTACATCGTCTGAAATACAAATATGCAGAATTCATCACTGAAAAATCTCAATTGTGTTTCTTCATCAGGAACTTCAACTGAACCTAGAACTTTTTCACACCTCGATTAGAAAGAAAACAAAACCAGGAAAAAATAAAACTATAAGTTGATTGGCTGCTGAGACAGCAATGACTTTATACACAGAGACCTGTACAGCATCCTCCAGGGAGGGATGTCTGGCAAGAGATTAAATAATTGTGTCTCGCTTTTGCAGGTCATCAACTCGTTTAACTCGTCATACTATAAAGGGGAAGGGAGAGGGGGACAAAACTGCGAGGGATCTTAGGGTATGTGCAATGTACAACGTCATATATATATACACACGTGGCAGCGGTCGGGCTGCGGCTAAAGGTTAAAACCAGTTCTAAGAGGTGATCTCAGGGTTATTCATACAATCAAGGAGGAAGAGAGAAAGAGGTCAGGGTGTTGTAGGTTCACACATGATACTTTGGGGGAAAAGCCTTTTTTTTTGTTTTTCTCCTCAACATTAACTAAAAACATTTTTAAAAACTACAGCTTGCTGCTGAGCCAGCTTTTTTCTTCTTTTTTTTTTCTCTTTTTTCTCTTTTTTTTTTTCCAGGTGAGACATTATTACAGTATGTTTTACAGTTTAAGGTGTACAGTACATGAAGTTCTACACGCTACTGCACAGGCCTCCCTTGGACAAGGTCTGTTCACCACTGGTTAACTTCTTGGTTCCTGCAAGATTGTGAATGTACAACGATAAAACCACACAGAGTTCAGCAGTCACTTGGGGTTTGTTTTTTGTCCTTCAAGAGTTTTACCATTAAAAACAGTTAGGAAAGTGGTGCCTGTCAATGTGATAACGCGGCAAAGTCGTTTCCCCAAACTCACTGTAAACGACAGTAACTTTGGTTAAAATAAAAAAAAAGTCTTCTATGTAGACAGAACTTTGTCTCCTTTAATAAGGGATTCAGGACAAATTGGAAGGGCAGGGGAAAGGGAGGGGGAACGGGGACATCATTCCCCAAGGGAGAAGCAGGACAGCGCAGGGTAGACAGTGGATTCTGAGGTGGTTTTGCATAAATAAAGGGCAACAGTCAGTTTCTAAGTTCTCCACTCACGCACACGCACACAGGGGCTCGGATCCCACAGCTGTCATGACTGGCCAATTAAAAACAGTACATCACAAATAACTTGTGAAACCAAAGAGTTCATCAAAGGCGACACGGAGATGTCCAACAGCCGCGACTCATATAACGTGAACTCCGAGTGGTTCTCGTCCACCTTGGCCAGGGCGAGCAGCGCCCGAGCAGCCCGGCGCATCATGTCCACGCTCGTCGACTCAAAGGGTGGGTTCTGCATGTGCATCAAGCTGGCCTGGCTCTGCTGGAACTGCGTGGCGGCCAGGCTGTCCTCCAAAAAGCCCAGCAAGTTGCCAATGCTGCCCTTCTGCACAGCAATCGCTCTTGCTGCCAGGCTGTCCCCCTGTGCCAAGTTGGCCAGTAGTACCACAGCCATCTCTCGACACACCGGGTTCTTTCTGTCACTAAGGAACCGCACCATGGTGCTGTACAGCTTCTCCAAGCGACTGAAGGGGGGAGTTGCAAGAATCAAATCCACATTGTTGTCCTGGATGCTGAGTTTGCTGAGTGTTTCCAAAACCAGTCTCTGAGGGGAGAGGACCGCACTGGGCCCCAGTGTTGGGAAGGGATCCTGGGCCTCTGCTGATGGACATACTGCCCAGTGGAGGAGTCCATCCAGGATAGGCAAACAGATGCTTTCTGGGTAAGGGGAGAGGTCCAGCTGGCCAGAAATGTTGGCCAACGTGACCAGTGTATTTTCACGCAGCATCTCCAAGCAGTCCCACCACCACTCCACCTTGTTGCAGCTCACCCCCTGGTCCTGCTCCTCCTCTTTCTCATAGGTCAGGGGTGCCTGTTTGCGTTCTGGATGCTTGTGGTGTAAGAGAATCAACTTCCCTAGAATCAGCAGCAGCCCGGGATGTTTTGACATTTCAAAGTCATTGCCCGGCACAAACGATAAACTCCTGATGATGTTAGAGACACAAATGCAGCGCTTCGCCAGAGAGTCCTGCCAGTCCAGGAGGGTGCACAGGGGCGTCTCGTCTTTACTGTGAGGTTCATCCTCCAGGATTTTGATGTTTCTGTGGCTCTGAGCTGGACTAATGCCAAAGGGAAACTTGCTGCTTTCTTTCGCCGTTTCCAGAGCTTTAACCTCTTCCTCCTCCCCTGCCAAGGCGCCCGGACGTGCCGACAGCATGTCATCCATGGTGGCAGTTATCCTCTTCTCCGAGGAGCTGTCGGATGGAGGAGTCTCTCCTTCCCTAGTGCTCGGATTGCTCTCAGCTGCTGCACGTTTCCTCAGGACAGAGGTGCAGGAAGCCCGTTTGTGAGTCAAAGGTAGCTCCGTCTTGCTCTCAAAGTGGGTCTGGATGTGCTCAGTGGTGTCGCCGCCGCCGATCCGCCAGTGCAGCAGCCCGCTCTCGAACTCCTGCACCCGTCCCAGCTTGTCTGAATAATCTACCACAAAGGGGTCGTTTTTCTGCACCACCTTGACTGGAAGCTTGTCAAATTTACTAACTAGTTTTTCCTCGCTGCTCTCCAGAGGTACTTTGTCCTTGCTCGAAAACGCAGCCTCCTCCTCTTCCTCATCCTCATCTTCCTCCTCACAGTTCAGGCTCCGTGGTTCATCATCCTCCTCCCCTTCTTCAGGGGAGGAAGCTGAAGACTTGCAGAACCTTTCGGGATCTAATAGTGTTCTTTGCCCTGGGTCTCCCACCTCGTATTCCTTCAGGATTCCAAAGATCTCGATCAGGCAGCGCCGGAAATACTCCACCAAGAGTTCCAGCAAGCCTGGCAGCTAAGAGGGAGAGGAAAAACAGGAGGGGAAGGAAGGAAGAGAACAGTGATCAGAAAATAACATAGGCCAACGCAAGCAACTGGGAAAGCGGGGCATAAAAGGGCTAAGAATTTAAGCTGTGCTCGTCATTACTGGGTTCTTTTCATGCTGGCAGCAACTGTTTGCAAAGCAGAGTTTTCTGCCCTCCGAGAAAGGGAAAAAGACAAACCCAAGGTGCTGACTGTCAGTATCCAAGCCACCCCCCAAACACTTGTGCAAACACAAGTGCTCTTTATACAAAGGTATAAATGACATGGGCCAGTGAGTAAGCAGTGTACAGCTCCCCAGACCTCATACTCTCTTCCAACCTGGCACGCTCCATGGGTCCAGGGACATCCCGGAGTCTGGCCCTACAAGGGCAGGAGCTGCTTGTTGCTATCTCGCTGACAGAAAACCCTGCACAATTAGCACTTCAAAGACCTGCATGAGAGAGCATCTGCACGCACCTGGCTGAGGTTGAAGGTCATTATGCTGTTGTCATCATAGAGCAGGATGTTTATGGTATCTAAGGCCCACGTACTTTCAGCTAGCAGCCCAGACTTCAGAGACATCATCACTCTCCAGGCTTCAGGAGTTCCTGTAACATAAACACATGATACTTCCAGCTCCTGGAGTTTAAAAACAAAAAAGGAGATACTTGATACTGCTTTTTGGATCCACGAAGAGCAAAGCTTGCTTAAGGTGATGTACAGATTGTATGTACCCGCAATCTCCACGTGGACAATGCCAAAACGATGTCTGAAACCCCAACTAGACCTCTTCAAGAGTCACCAGAGCCCTTCCACTTGGCATTACCAAAGGGTAATGGCAGCACCCATCCCCTGGGCAGGCACAAGCAGAAACGCAGGGGTTTCCTCTTACCGATATCTTTCGCTGTCAGCCGTCTCCTCTGCTTCAACACAGGTTGCGTTGCTTCTACTGATCCCGGAGGGAAGGTGATGTCTCGTCGGATCATGGGGGGCTGTACAGCTGCTGGTGTTATGTGCGAGGCAGGGACTGGTGGTCCTGCCTTCTGCATTTTCATCCCCGAGTGCAGGAACGGAGATTTACTGGGAGAAGTGCGATTCTCCAGAGGTCTGGGCAGAGGTGCTGGGCTGGATACCTGAGGAATGTGATTCTGCATGCTAGGGGCGGTCTGGTAGTTAGACTGGGGGGGCCTGGTCATTGGGGGCACGGGGGCAGAGGGACCATAAGGAGGTTGCCGGTTCCCATGGGAAGGCCATGGTCCCTCATGGTTGACCCTCTGGTCTGAATGCAGGATGTCATCTGTTCGAGTCACTCCATGGTAAGCAGGCCCCTGGGGCGCAGAGCCCGTGCTCTGCCGGTTCGGATAGCTGTACCCTATTTCGTTGCGCCCCTGCCACATGGCACCTTGCTGTGGGCCCTCTGGAGTAGACTGTATGGGACCCCCCATCATCTGAGGAGGCATGTTCTGCTGAGCATTGGAGCCTGGGGGAGCCGAGACCCTGTCTCTGCCAAATTGGAATGGGAACTGGTTCTGAGGCCCTCCGGCAGCGCGGCGGTCAGCAGCAGGGTATGTACTCCCATACTGGTTATACAGGTCCTGCTGGGGAGACGGCTGTGCAGTTTGCTGCTGGCTGGGTTGCTGGCTCTGTGCTGGAGGCAGCTGCTGCTGGGTCTGCCCCTGCCCGCCGCTGTATGGTACGTTGTACATCTCCCCTTCGTGTCGCTTCGCAGGGGGGCCGTAGCTGCCGTCCATCGGCCGCTTGTAATTCTACAGGGAAAAGAAAGGCATCAACATGAGATTGCTTAGGATCACAGAATGGTTTGGGTTGGAAAGAACCTTCAGATCATCCAGTTCCAATCCCCTGCCACGGGCAGGGACACTTCACACGAGACTGTGTCACCCAAGGCTCTATTCAACCTGGTCTTGAAAACTGCCAGGGATGGAGCATTTACCACTTCTTCAGACACCCTGTGCCAGTGCCTCACCACCCTCACAGTAAAGAACTTCCTTATATCTAACCTGAACTTCTCCTGTTTCAGTTTAAACCCTTCACCCCTTGTCCTGTCCCTACAGTCCCTGATGAAGAGCCCCTCTCCAGTATCCTTGTAGCCCCCTTCAGACACTGGAAGCTGCTCTGAGGTCTCCATGCAGCTTCTCTTCTCCAGGCTGAACAGCCCCAACTTTCTCAGCCTGTCTTCATATTGGAGGTGCTTAGAAACAAGCAACCCAACCCTCAGTGGGTACTGCTGCTCCATGGCATGGCCTGTAAGACGGCAGGAGTTGTCTTGTTGTTAGCCATATCCAGCATGAGGCTGGATCAGTCTTTCAAATCCACAAGCCAGGACCAATTCCTTGTGGCTGGCTGTGTACTTTCCTTGTGGATTCTACAAGGATGCCTTGGGGGCAGAAGTCTGCCCACAGAAAGGACTTCCCTGTAGGAAAGACTCGGGGCTGCTGCTCACCACAAACCAAACCGTGCGCCCGCACTTGTTTCCTCTCGCATCCAGGAATTTTATCAGGCCCTATTTCTCTTTTATTTCCCAGGAAACAAGTTTCTGCTGAAGCAAACAAGATGCATTAAAACCTGCTGTACTTTCTGCTTCTTCCCTTCCTATAGATTTCAAAATACATCACTGAAAGGAGCGAGAATTATTCACCCCACTACTTCTTTTAAGTGTAAATGCAGAAAAGAGTCAATTGCTAAGAGAAAACTGAACTCCAAGATCTCTCTTGCCTCCAAGGGTCTGTGCTCTACAGCCTGTTTAGAAGCTCCATGGTCATGACTGGCATCAGACAGAGCTCTAGGGCTTCAAAGATGACAAGTACCAGAGTAACTCAAACTCTTGGCTCTGCGCCCCGTGGCTCTGGTTGCAGAGCCAAACTGCAGAGCAGTTGGAATTATTCTTAGCACAGCTCAGCGAGTGCCCTCTCTGTACTCCCCCTAAACCAGAGGGTTTGGAATTATCAGGGTCCTGGCACCGATACAAAGAGCAAGCCATATGTAAGGATTATGGAAAGAGAAATATGTTCATTCAGACTGTCCTGAAACAAACCCGGGGTTTTGTGAACAGCGAGTAGGAGGCAGTGGGGCAATGGATTGAAGGCAGGGCTGAAGCCTTTGTCTGCAGGCTCAGTAAGGCAAAGCCAACAGAAAAAGGCCTGGGTTGTGCAGAAGGATCCACCTGGAACAGCTCCCCAGAAGATCAAAGACTCGACAGCAAACTCAGCAGATCCCTTGGAACTCAAACGTTACAGGAACACGACGGGACTCGGAAAGTTCCAGAGGGGCAGGCAAACCCAGTGAAGTTTCCTGACCTCACACATCTGCAAACACCACAACCTCCCTTCTCCAAACATTGTTTTGCTGACCCAACACTGGAAACACTAATGAAAACTTCAGCTTTTGGAAATAGGAAAAAAACCCCACCTGCCATTTAAGTTACTCAATTCTATATGTTCCATAAAGCAAACACACAGCACAAAGAGTTTTCATTCCCCCCCCCCTTCATAAAACTCTTCTATGTCTCAGTCAAACACATCAGAGGCTTTCTGATGACTTACCTGCTGTTGCTGTTGGTACATGGTGGTTTGCTGGCTAGGGAAGGGGCTGCCCGAGGATGTGCCTTGAGTGGAGAATTGATTGCCATAGGAATCGTGTCTGGAGGAGAAACAGATGCATTACTTGTCTGATCAGATGCACGCTTCACTTTCACAGTCTCAGAGCTCTCTAAGTAGGAAAAGCTGTTTGTGGCAAGACCCCACACAGACCTTTGCTGCTGCTGCTGCTGCTGCGGGTAGCGGCTGGGAGAGTACATCCCCGATTCCGGGGTGGAAGGCATGATGTTTGGCTGCGGAGTTCCTGTGGCTAAGGTGCCCTCAGGTCCCATGCCGGGTTCCGTCCTACATGGAAACAAAGGGAACCCCCCCACACACAACCGTTTAAATCCACCCTTGCTCCTCTAATGGAAAAGGATGATCAGCAAAGGCACAGCAGTGAAGAGAAAATCATTTCCCGTGAGCCAAGCAAATCAGGATCTCACCAGGCTGAAGTACCCACCTCACCCTGTCGTAAGGACCTCCGTAGGAATAGTGTTGCCGCTGTCCCATGGCCATGTTACCCATCCCTGGACCTGCAGCACGATTGTAAGGGTCACCCATACCACTGTTGGGGCCCTGCCCTGAGGACATGAAGGGATCACTTCCTGGAGCTGGAATATTAAAAGAAGAACCAATAAATGTGTCTACCTCTGCCTTAGAAAGATACATCCCATCTTCTGGGGAAGAAGGGCAAGCAGAAGGTCTCCTACAGCACACTCCAGCATACAGCCAGATACAGGGATTAGTGCTTAAGGGAGAAAAGCATGCAAGGACTTCCTCACCTTTCCTCATACTGCTGTAAGGATCTTTATTTGGCTCGTAAGACATGCGACCCATCATGTCAGAGGTATTCATGCTGGGCTGGTACCCTGGATTTGGAGTCATGGAGTTCCGTTTCTGGAACGTAGGATCACTACCATCTGCAAAGGCATCCTGAAGGCCCACTGAGTTACTCCTGATGCAAAAACAACCCACAAAAACAGGATTAGAGAGGTCCAAAGTGATCCTCAGGATACTTTCCCCACGTTCCCCTAAGGTGTTGCTATCCCCTAGAAGGACCAGCCATACTCCTCCAACAGAAGCATGAAGAGCACTGTCCCCAGACCCAAAATGATTATTTACACACAAATGCAGAGTCAATAATGTTGCTGTGAGCTGTTAACACCGGAGCAAAGCCATGGAGCCCCACCAAAATAGGTTCTCAAGTCTCCAGCCTTCTTTAGGAATGACCCAGGAGCAACCCTCATGTTCACAGTCTGCATCTGGCATAGTGGAATAGGGTGCAATGGTTTCATACCTGATGCCTGGCAAAGGAGGCATCTGACTATGTGGTGTAGATGCTGGAGTTGGTGGCTTTAAGTCTCCTCCCTCTGCCATGGAGCTGCTGGTGGACTGAGGTGTCTGAGGACCCTGCATTGAGCCTGAACCCGCTGCAAGAACAGAAACGTGGTGTGAGCACCTCTGCACCCTACAGATCTTCCAGAACATCAGCCTCAAGAACACAGAGCAAAGAGTCCTTCAAGAGACAGATGAAATACGGCCAAAAAGAGTACAAGGAGCTCAACATTTCAAAGACACACTGGGCCTGACTTCCCAGAACCACACACAGTGATCTAGAGCCAAGAGGACACGTTCATTTTCATCATCTCTTCGTTCTTGCCCACATGCCATTTACACACCGTTGCCACCACTGTGGCACAATGTTGTGGTGCCCAACCTATCCGGCTCCAGAGGTTGGTGCTCTACAGAGCACCATGTGTCAGGGAATACAGTGCTTCTTGCCAAGTGACAACTACTGACTCATCACCTTCACACTCTTTCTGCACAGCAAGGTGGGTTTCAGCTCTCATGAAACATCTCATGATCTTCCTAGTGCTGGAAACTAGAACATCAGCTGAAGCCACCAAGTAACTCTGAACAAGGCTTCTCCACCTGCTCTGCGCTTCCAGAGGGGTTAATTCATGCAGGTTAATTCAAGCACCACTCCCAAGGATTCCTGGAACAGGGAATGCTGGTGATGCTGGATCTTTCAGTGAAAGACAAAACCCGTCCAGCAAGTTCCCAAGGAGGCTTTCATCAAAACTCCCAGGCCATCCTGTGTAATGCAGCTGTGCTGGGAGCTCCAGGAGCTCCCCTCTGCCCCGGGATTGCTGTGACAGCATCAGCCCAGGTTCACCTGCTCCTTGCAGCTGGCAGGAGCTGAACTCTTAATTCATGTTTCCCTGAGTTCCCATCCAGCACCCGATCTCCTCGCCCCAGCCCCGCTGGTTGATGACTCACTTCAGCTATTCATTAAAACCCTCCGAGGTCACATCCAGGCCATGCTTGTTTACACCCCACCTTCCTGGCACCCTGTCCTCTTCCCTGCGACTCCCTCCCAGCGCGGGGAGGTCTCTGGAGAAGGCAAGGCAGAGGGGAGCTTCATTCACGGGCGGTCTCCTTCCCTCCACAGGGGGTTCAGCTCTACACGCTTCCCGCAGGACTTGGCTGCTCTGTGTGTGTGTGCGATGCTGGCACCAGCAGGAAGAGGCCTGGAGACATTCCCTGCATCGCTGCCATTTGGTGTTTGTCCCCACCCCCCCCCCCCTCAGTGTCCCTCCCACTCACAAATTTACACACAGTTGGAGCCGGGCCAGTTCCATGCTCTGGGAATTAAAACCCAGCGCAGACTGATTACGCCTCCCTGGGGACACGCTGCAGTTTGCGAGCAGGAACCCAAGAAGTGTGTTGGAAACCTGTGCCAAGTGCCCACGAGGCAACACCCAGGCCACTCCAGCCCTTCTGGAAACACTTTTGGGTTTTGAGGGTTATGAATGCATGGAAACAGCTCCAGCACCAAGAGTTGATTGTCCTGCAAGAGGCCTTTAGATGCTCTGCTCTGGGTTGTGAGAGCGCTTTGTGTTGTGCTTACACCCCTGGTTCCTGCCCATCCAGAGGAGCAAGAGAGAGGAAGAAAAGGAAAGTGAAACAGAAGCATGAACATGCTGAGTGATATGGCTTAAAGGATCAGAGCAACCAACCATGCTTCAGTGCTGCCTCTGCGTATTCCTAGTGGCAGGAATCTGGAGTAAGACAAGTGCAGAGAACAGTTTACATAGAAAATACCACACAGCACAGGAATCAAACCTGTAGACTAAGGCAAGTGGGGAGAGCAGCCCTGCAAATTCCTCCTGCTGATGTGCTGAAGCAGATCACCTGTAGCACAGCCCTGAAGGCAGACTCGCCACCTCCAGACAGCTCCGTGCTAGCTGAAGCGACATAAAAATTGATGTCCCTTCAAACCCATTCTGACAGGCAGCAAGTGCTACAGGAGGGTTTAAGTGGCTCCTGAAAAGCCTCAGCCCTCTCCAAATAAACTCCACATGCTCTTAACATCTTTGGTCCACTGCCTAGTATCTCTGGGGGGCAAGAAAGTGGTTTTGGAAAGAAAGCGGGGATGGATTTGTGGTCTCGGTTAAGGGGAACCGAGACACCACTTTACACAGAATTTTAGTCTAGTGACACAGAAGTTGCTTTGTCTTACAGAATACACCAAGGCTGAAGCTACACTGGGACAGGTTTCCTGACCAGTGACAAGATATCAATTAGGACTTAAAGAAACCAACGCTCTGTAACAGAGAGGACAGACAAATGTAGCTGCCAACAGAGTATTACGGACAAGCACACTGTTGACTGAGGGCTTAGCAGGGCTGAGACACAACTGCAATACAATCCAAAAAGGGTTCATTATTCCACTCCTTGGGACACAACACCAGGTTTCAGAAGCAGAAAGGCATTTTTTGCAAACATTACAGGAGCTTCAAAGCTGACAATGTTTTATCTCACCCACATGAACAGGCTCCTGACCAGAAAAAGCATCAGAAGGTTTTACTTATAAGACAAACTGGAAAACTGAAGCTCAGTGTTGGCAATTCAAGCAATGAAGACTAAAGATGACAGCCTGGACCTTTCCTCCTTTTTTGGTTGGGTTTTGGGGGACTTTGTTCAACACATCTGAATTGTTCTGCTTAAACATTCAGAAACCAGAGCACTCCATCACATTTGAAACAACAGAAGTGCATTTTAAGGAGCTTCATTTCTAGAGCATTCAACCTGTAACAGGCTTACAAAGTGTCTGTGCACAGAGCCTCAGAAAGTCCTCACCATCTCCTGCTGAAGACGGAAAGGAGTAATTGGTGAGGAAGATGAGTTCACATCTACATCAAGCATTTACTCCCAGAAGGTAGCACTTGGCATAATCAAAACAAGCACAGCTTTTCTAGCAAGTTCCCAAAGCTGAGCAGTAAAAAGGGCTGCTGTTAGAATATGCAGAGATCAGCTTGTAGGGATAACACCAGACTTCCCTTTCCACCCGATTCCCACAAGGCAGTGATGTACTAGGAAGTGCAGAGGTGTGTGTATGTAGCTATGTATAGATTTTTAAGTATCCTTAGTACAGAGGTGGGACACACAAAACCTGCACTGTCCCAAGAAGCTTGACTTATTCCTGCTATCACTCACTCCCACATTACAGAAGGTATTTAATCTACCCAACTAGAGAACATCTAATTAGAGACAGACACAGGGGCTTTGTGGAAGTTTGGAACCAGCCTGACCCACAGCATGGAGAGTCTCCACAACGAGATCCTATGGTGCAAACACCCACTTCACAACTCAAACCAGTGCCTCAACTCACCTGGAGATGGAGGCTGTATCTTAGTCTGAGACTTCTTTGAATCGGCAGCTGCAAAGATATCTGGAGGGGGGTCTTCACCTCGCTCAATCTTGCACTCGAAGGCATAGAGACACTGGATGTACTGCTTCTTCAAAGAGCTCGCTGCACTGCTGGACGTGCCCACGTTGAGATTTGTGGCTAATTCGCGCCATTTCTTGTTTTTGTTGACCTGCACAACCAAAGAAGAGGCTCTGGACTCAAAATCCAGCTCCTCTTCCAAGAGCTTTTCTGGGGAGAAATCAACACTTCCCAGCTAACACAAAGGATGCAGTAAGTGCCAAGCAGAGCAGACAGTCGTGTTCAGAACCCCAAAACCAGTCAGCTCTCTTCCTCACCTACAGAAAGCTTTCTAAACAGGGACAGATTGCAAATGAAATCAGATGCAAAGACAGCGTCACCAACCTTTGCACTGGACAAAGCAGGGGAAAAAAGCACTTGAACAGAATCTCACCACAGACTGCTCTCAACAAGCGACTGGGAGAGCAGACATCTGCCTCATTTCAAGGATGCTGGGTTTAATAAGTGTTATTTAAACACTGCTGAATGGGAACTCAGGGCTTTCCCTCTAGCTCCAAAGCTAACTTCAAACTCTGCTGCCCATTAAGCCTGTGACTGGCAGATGGTGGGCATCACCCAGACACCACGCTGGCTGCTGGACACTCACCTGAGTCAATCCTCCAATCTCCTTCACTGAGATGTAGAGCCGGTAAAGATCCAAGGGTTTCCTGCCTACTGCTGGCAGATTGGTCATGCCCATGGCCTTCTCCTCAGTAAAGGCCAGGTAACGATCTACCCAGATCTTCCTCTCGGGCTCCCCACCCAGCTCATAGAGTTTGGTGATCTTCTCATTGGTTGTAGTAGAAGAACTGGACTTCTAGGAGAAGGAAAGAGATATCAGGACTGAGCAGCACAAAAGCAGCTGTTTCACATCCGAGATGGTTTCAAAACAGCAGCCAGATAAGAGTTCAAAGTTCTGCTGTTACACTGAGAACGGCTTTAGAGCAGCCCTACGCTTGTCTCAGATCAACGTCAGGCAAGTGTTACTCAACAAAGGTATCACAAAACCAGCTGCTACTCAGGGAATTCACAGAGTATGTGTTTCTAAAAAGTGAAAGGTTTCAGGAATGCTACAGAAACCAGACAAACCTCAAGGAGGCTTCGCAGAGAGCTTGCTAAATCTATGAGAAAACACCTAATTCAACTGCAAATTCCTCATGGCTAATGCACTGTGCCAGGGTGAACTGCCTTCTGGTTAGCCTCTTCTCTTGCCCAAGTGATAGATGCCAGGTTAAACTGAAGCCAAACACCACAAAGGAATCAAAATAAACATGCCTCAGAAGAAGAATAAAGATGAGGAGGTTTGATGAGTGTGGGTGAGGGGCTCCCCACACAGACAATCTCTCTTCTCTTGCCTATTCACTAATGCAAGTGCAGAAATCTCCTGCTACCTGGATATACAGACACAGCCGAGTGCAAGGATCTCCTCTGGTTCAGGGCAATCCCAGGCACAGCTACAGGTTGGGCAGAGAAGCAATTCAGAGCAGCCTGAGGAGAATGACTTGGGGCTGTTGGTTGATGAGAACTGAACATGAGCTGGCTTCAGTGTGCACTCACAGCCCAGAAACCACCCATGTCCTGGGCTGCATCAAAAGGAGCATGAGCAACAGGTGAAGGGAGGGGATCCTGCCCCTCTGCTCTGCTCCCCTGAGACCCCACATGCAGCACTGTGTGCAGTTCTGGTGTCACCAACGTAAGAGAGACATGGAGCTGTTGGAGCAAGTCCAGAGGAGGCCATGAGGATGATCAGGGGCTGGAGCACCTCCTGTATGGAAACAGGCTGAGAACACTGGGGCTGTTCAGCCTGGAAAAGAGAAGCTGCATGGAGACCTCAGAGCAGCTTCCAGTGTCTGAAGGAGGCTACAAGGATGCTGGTGAGGGGCTCTTCATCAGGGAGTGTAGTGACAGGACAAGGGGGAATGGGTTTAAACTGAGAGACTATGGGCTCACAAACTGCTTTTTTGGTGGTTCTTTTGAAACTGGTAGCAGTAATGCAAAGAAAAACACTCCCTGAAGAACTTGTTTGCCTCCCTCTTCTGGCTTTAATACAGGATTAGTAAGAGGTTTGTTTGTGAAACAACTGTAACACTTTGGTGTACCACCTCCCAGCTGAGAGGTGATAACTGCCTAGCTCCAAGCCTACACCAGAAACAAACTCAGGTTTATTTACACTTCTTCTGGCAGTTTCACTGTGGCAGGTGATAATTCCTAATACTAAACTGTTTTGCAAGTGGAATGGATTCCTCCCAAAGGACTGGGCAATGCTCCCCTTCAAGATTAGCTCACAACTGAAACGAGAACACATAAATAAGGTGTGCCAAGCATCTGTTAGAAATCCTAGACAGAGGCTTGAAACTGGGAGTCAAACAGGGGGGAACATGTAAATTCTCATAGGAAGTCCCTTTCCTGGCCTGAGGGCTAGTGGGTCTCTGGGGGGTAGGATGGCAAAGTTCAGGCTCCTCAAGGATACTGTTATTAACACACGTTTAGTGTTTACTGCAAACATAGCCAGAGCCTACTCTAAAAGAGTCTAAAAGCCTACTCTAAAAGTGCCGAGACACGTGAATTATGCTCCAAATCACAACACATTCCAAAAGAGAACAGCCCACTGACTAGCCACTCTCCTCAATTAGAACCACGGTCACAAGCAGCAGTCACATCACCTATGACAAGGACAACCACGCTACCAAGAAGTCTGGTTCAGGGTAAGAAGAATGAATCAAATTAGCTTTCCCTCAGGAACCACACTCACTCCTAGACAGAGGCACTGTCTGATCCAAGTAACGTGCAGTGGTTTAATTTTCATGGATGCTGAAGAGGATGCGAGTCGTTAAAAACAAAACCCAAAACATTTTACCTTTGACTTGGACTCTGCTTTTGGCGTCCCATCTGCCTTATTGTTCATTTTAGTTGCAGGTGTTAATTTGACGTCCCCAAGACCCATCATTTCGGGGCTGGCTGCCATCCCTAGGGAGTGAAAAGAAGCTTTAACACTCGTTTTCAATTCAGCACAATGAAATTGATGAAGTGCCTTAATGGTCAGCATTGGCTTACCTGCAGAGTTGTTGGCCATGTTCCCCGCCATCGGATAGGGGGGGCCCTGGGGGTTTATCATGCCAGCCATACTGTTAATTCCCTGTCCATAAGGAGGTCCAGTGCCCATCATTCCCCCTTGATTCATGTTGGGATAACCAGGAGGCCTGGAGAAGGCAAGGAAGAAACAGATGCTTACTCCCAGTACTAAGCATTAAGATCTTGTCTCCTAAGGAAGCAGCTTTCCTAAAAGAAACCTACAAAAGAAGTGGAAGTGACCTTCTCCAGCTCACTCTTCCAGCAAGAGACCAAAGATCAGGTGCTCTTTTAGAGCTTAGCAACCCTAGAGCCTAAGTCTCATTCTCAAAAGAGGATGCAGACTGTTCTAAAAGAGGCACTTCAGTTCTGACCATTCTCACCCTGACTCTTGTTCTATAACATCCCCAAACTGAACTTCATTTCATTGTTAAGTTGCCTTTCCAGGGAAGAACAGGCTGCAAATCCTGCAGCCCTGTGCATTTAACTGAGAATACATGATGTGTATAGATCAACAGTGTAGTGCTCCAGCCACATTTAATGATTTTTCTTTCTTTCCTTTGTGCCACCCATACAATCTACATCATTTCAGATTTATCAGAAAGCCTCATACACAACTGTCACTCAAACTCACTACTCGAAGGGACAGACTTTGATGCCTTTATTGGCATTTGGGAACTTGACCTCTTGGCAGTCATGGATAACATCAGACAGTAGGCTGCAGAAGCAGCCCTTAAAGTCAGGATAAAGAGGACAGTGCCCAGTCAGATAACAAATACACCCAGCAGCTTTACTGGGGGAACCCAATTTATAAGCAAGGTCATGGCTCTGGTGGCATTCTGATAAGCCACGCACACCGCCTCTGAAATGTGCAATTAAAACATAACGAAACAAAAAACCCCACAGAAAACAGTTGCAAAGTTCACTGCTGAATTCCAGCCCCCTTTTCCCCAGCTGCTCATCAAAGCTGTAAAAGGAAGGAGTTCATTACACTGGACAAATGGAGCTGCATGGCTGGCTGCTAGATTTATAGGCTCTACCATACAAGCAGTTTATTTTAAGTCACCCATCTAACAAAGATGACCAGAAAGCAAAAACAACTGAAGGGATCTCTGAGTTAGATTTCACCTATGAATAGTAAAAATCCCCTGAAAATGTCATTAATGATGCACTCCAACACTCTGCTTGTCCAAGCTTTAAGCTCTTCCCTTTCTTAGCACTGAACATTAATGAAGAAGTCTCCAAGAAGGGCAAACCTTTGAGGGTTTGGGTTATTCCATCTACAGCTTTGAAACCAGGACCTGCTGTAGGGAAAGGGACTTTTAACAGTGACCAGGGGGAATGTCATTCCCTACCTGTTCTGGATGGAGTTGGCAGCAGCGTGCATGGCGGCAGCAGCCGCTTCTTGTGCTTTGCGATTCATGCCTCCTGGTGGGGGGCACATCCCTGTCCCCACCTGAGGTGGCATATTGGCCATGTTGGGTCCGTAAGGTCTGTTCCCCATGGTGGCATGGCTCATCCTCCCTGGAGGAAGCCCACTGTACGGTGGCACACCAGTCTGCCCATGCATCTGGCTCCCTGCTCCCATGGGGTTCATGCTTGCTCCCATTCCTGGACTGGGGTAGTTGGCATTGGACATAGCATTGTAGTTTGGCTGCCTGGGATAACCTCCTAAGGAGATATAAAAAAAAAGAGGGGAAGACAACATCATTCAACCAGTTAATGAATCACCATAAAAATCTTCTATCAGCAAATATTTAAAGATCACTAACAGAAATGAGGGGGAGTGTTAACACCTCAACAAGAAGTCAAAGTACTTGGATATAAGCCACATAAAATGTGTTTTGACATAGCCAAGGAACAACATCGATTCAAAAGCTGCCTGAAACTCTCCCAAACCTCAACCGAGCCATGTGAGCCAAACAGCCCAGGACAGGATGTCAAAAAACCTCACTTAACCCTTTCCAAAACATACAACACTCAGTCTTCTTCCTCTCCAAAGAAAACTGGCTCTTCCTTCTGTGTTACACTGGCTGCAGGGCCTACATCTTTTTAAATGAGGAGGAAGGAGCCTACATTTAGAAGTACAACTAGCAACATGTTTCATCAGCCTCAGTACGAACAAAGCACGGTTCCTTCCATTTCATAAGGAGCACACTGGTTTGTATGACCCACACATTAAGGGGGGACAAATAAAAACAGCTTCTTAACGACAAGATGTTACAATAGAGATTGCTGAGCTCAGTTCCCACCTTGAGGAGCTGACAGTGCCTCACCTTGAGGTCCGTACTGCCCACCCTGGGGTCCATAGCTTCCCATGGAGTTCTGCTGGTATGGCCCCATTCCAGCATGCATCTGTCCTCCAGAGGACTGACGGGGAGATAAGGCTGAGCCGGGCTGGGGTGAGCTGTACTGGGGCATCTGAGGATTCCTCTGCATGTAACCTGGTCAGCAGTGAGGGGAGGAGACAATCATTAGTGTAAAGTATCCAGGGGTGCCACTGGACACACATGTTCTGAAGTAACAAGAGACCCACTAACAAAATCCTTTCAGCAACAGCCTGGACACATTTTGCAGTGGTTGCTATTAGGGAGCCAGTGTTATCCGTGAAGATAACACATCCAATTTCCTGTTTTAACCAGAAAAAAACCCTTAGTGTCACAGGAGCAGACAGGGGGACTGCAAATCCTAAGGGCGTGCTGTTGGGTTTTGTCTGCTTGTTTTCTCCAGGTGACAACTACATACCTTCAGCCACACGAGGTGGAATTTTACATGCATTTCCCCCCACACTAACCCTATTCTCTTAGGGCAAAAGGCATACAATGTTTTTGTGAGCACCCCTCATTTTGAAGCTTAAGATCATGGACACTGAACATGCAACATCCACAGAAAAGAGTGTGAAGAGCCAGTAAAAACATCTCACAAGCCAAAGTATGAGCTCGGAGGCAACATTAAGAGGCCAACCACCAGCAACAGCTGAATTTACAGCAAAATGCTTAAACACTTGCAGCTTATAAACCCAGGGCATCTTTTAAATGCTACCTCACCACAGAATCCATGCCATCAGGCCAGGTAATTGTTAGTTACACATCTACTTTGATTACAATTAGATCTTTTAACTCGTGTCACACACCTCGGTCTTGCGCTATGCTTGACTGGTTCATGGAAGGATGCATGATACTGTCCGACTGGCCACTGGGCGGTCGGGGTGGCATCTGATTGCCTACACCACAAAAAGGAGAGTGGTTAATCACAAACCCTGCACACCACAAACCCCAGGATGCAAGAGCAAACACCAGAACTACAACCAACTTCAGGAGAAGGCTTGTGTTGGCCACAGTGAAGGAAAAGCAGAGCAAGACCAGGCACATTAACCCAGCAAAACGACACTGCTGGTTTACCAGCCATCCCACCCGCTTTATTATATCCTTTCAAAGTTAGAGACATTTAAAGCAAGCAAATGAGCTCACAGGACCTCAATAACCACACAGTACTGACACGGGCCAATTCCTCCCCACTGACCACTTCAATTCACTCTCCAGCTGCACGAGGCAGCCCCACCAGAAGATCAACACATGCCAAGCAGCATTACCTGGTACTGCAGCAGGTGAAAGTGGACCAGAGCGGGACTGAGCAACACTAGCTGGAGAGCCAACTGGGGATGGGGAGGGTCCTCTGATGCCTGGCAGGTGAGGAGAGGTATGTGGAGAGAAAGGAGACTGAGCTGGGTTACTCTGCTCTCCTTGACTGCTGGAAATCCCTGATGTGCTTACTCCAGGACTCAGGGCTCCTTCTGTACCCATGGGTAGATCATCTATTGAACCAGACAGGTCCTGCAATACACAGAGAAACACATCAGGCAAAAATAAAGAGACATGGGACTGTTCTCTCACCTACCACTAAGAAAGAGTGTATTTCTCCCTTAGGCATACTACAAATAGAAATCAATGAACTCTGTTCGTGTTATTGTCAGTAAGGAAGGCTGCTGCAGACTGAGGTAACTGCCAAATGTGACTTATCCTGCTGCCTATCTCTGAATCCAAGAGTTCCCTTGCTGGTGTGCTGAGTGCTCGCTGATGGGCTAAACGACTTGCTAATTCTCCTTCTTGCTTCTTTTAGTTCAGTTTAGAGGTGAGAAATGAAAGAATGGCATCAGCAATCCAGGTAAAACTGCAAATGCAGGGAACAGTCCATGTGCTCAGCCTCTGAACGACAGAAAACTCCTGCCTTGCCATAATTAATTCATAAACCTCATATGAGCTGGGAAACTACTCACTGGAGATGGATAAAACCAAACTAAACAGAGATTTAAAAGGAAACCATAAAATACTCTTCAGGGTTCCCACTTCCCTTTCTTCGGAGATAGCAGAAATTAGCAGTTATGATATCAGCCTGTTAAAGTTCAGCTTTTCTTGAAGGCAAGGCTAGAAAACACCCTTCCTACTGCACGTATCCACCCTGGAGAAGACATGCACAGAAAGCCTAAGGAAGTCGAAACTTCAGTTGCCACAGTAGCGACTGCAAAGGGATGGCACCAGAAGTCAGCTGGCTAGTGTGGAAAATGGGGATACATCCAAGAAGGTGAGGTGCAGATCCAAGACACACAGTTGGACAAGCTGTTTGATAATACGGTGCATCCAGCTTGGCCTGGAGTAAAGGAGTAACAGTCCAAGACAGAGTAAGTGGTGGCGCATCTGAACAAAAAGCTGGCAATTACAACTATTCCAGTGATGAGAGAAAATCCCTGCCAGGGATTCAAAGGATCACAGCAAGTGAAGACCAAAGCTTACCAGGACTTCACCCACCCTTTGCAGAGCAATCAGCCCTGCATCAGAAGCCTTCAGGACTGAGCCCTCAGGGCATTTCAGCTCAACTCCCTCAGCCCAGAACTCAGCTGACCAGCCTGAACAGAGCCAACCTCCTCTAAAACACCATGTAGAAAGGCTGAGCCAACTGATACATAACCTGGACATCCTGGTCTCATTTATGCTGACTGGATGAGGTCTGGTTTGGGTAACATGTTCCCAACCCTGTGCAGTGTGAAAGGACCTCAGACACAAGATATTGCAAACTTCTCAGCCTTGAGAAGCAAGAGACCTATCGCTCCATAGCGCCAGTCTGCCAGGTGATGTGTGAAGAGGCTCTGACAGCACATCCCATCAGCTAAGCTGCAGAACAGCACATTACCACATCCTAGCAAGTGGAAAACTGAAGCTACAGAAGAATAAAGAACCACTGGGGAGATATGCAACAACCTCATCACACTTGTTGGGCAGACAGTGACATTCAGGACAAAGGGGAGAGCTGGGCTTCAGCTGCACCACATTCAGCTGCCTGCTGCACAGGGCAGTCTTGCCTATTTGAACAGTGGAATTTGATCAAAATGCTTCAACCAAATGCTGGCAAATGGCACATTTGAGCAGAAAACACCAGTCACTTGGTGGGATGCTTAGTGCATAGCATGTCCTTCCTACCCTTCCATTACTGCTTCTCTTTGAGAGATCCCTTCCTGCTCAAGTCTCAGAGGTCTATTTGCTTACTGCTGAAGTATTATCTTCCTGAGGAAAGAAAAGCTTTGTTTTATTTCCAATGAAAGCCAAAAAAAACTGCAGAAAAAGCCTAAAAATAGTGATGAAGATCTCTTGCAATCTTCACTGCCTTCCTACTGTAACATCAACAGCATTGCTCCTTTATGCAGCTACTTAAGATTTTTCCCATGGACAACTCTGACAAACCCCACATTCCAACTGCAGAAACCATCTGAAGTGGGAGCTGATGAGAGAGCATTGCCAATATCTTCCATTAAAAAGCATCAACCAACACAATCAAGGCAAAACTACTCCTCTCCCTGAGACTCAGCATCTAACTTCAGCCACTGGTATAAGACACACATTTAGATCCCCATCTAAGTCAATGAAGGGACCAAAATGTCCAGAAGCTAACTGAGTCCAACCTAACCTTGGATGGAATTCCCTTCAATAGTTACTATGAAGAAAACTAACCCTATCCCAGGCCAAACCAGGACAACACATTGAGGTACTTTCAGTCTGAACCACCAAATGCATGCAAACACTGTTTTCATCACCACCAAAATGAAGCTGGAGGCCAAACCTCTTTGCAGCAACTTTAAAATCCCTACCACCATGAGCTTACATGGATACAGCATTTCAGAGCAGTTAAACCTTCACACCAGAGGGGCAGAGGCTGTAGGTTCTTAGATGAGAGACTTTTAGGCTTGCAAGAAAAACCACATTAGAAATGTACACCTGAGACAAACTACTGGTGTGAGGGGACAGACCCAGAGCAAGTGTGCAAGGTGCAATGTGGAACTTCCCCTCTATCAGGAATGTAAGTGACAAGCATCTCCTAAAGGCAAAAGGTTTGCCTCCAGGATCTGAGGAGGTCATTCCTGCTACACAGCTGTGAGCAATATTCCTACAGGAACTGGGCAGACCAAGAGGATACTTTCCTGCCTGGCATTGCCAAGTTGTATCTGCAAGACATAAAATGAAGCAATGTTAAAAACTGCTTGAAATTTAACCCCTAAGTAACTAGATAACAACCTTCCACATTGATGTCTTCAACCTTGCATCAAAGCTTAACCCAAGTACTGCAAGTCATTTAAAACCATTCAGTTTTAATCAAGCAGGTTAATACAGGGTTGCTGTAGACATGGGAGCGAGGGCCCCCCTGCATTGCTGGCATACCACCACAGACCTCCCATAGAGGAAAAGCAGACCTGTAGCTACAAGGCTATGGGTCAGACTCTCAAACCATCGGTTTAAGTAAGTTCCCAGGGAATTACACATCAACCTTTCTTGGATGTTAGGACCTGAACTGGAACAGGGCCATAAAAATCAGCTCACTCCTAAAGCAACTTCCACCTGTAAAGATGTACGAGCTTCAGGAATCCCAGCAATAAAGGGATTTCCCACTGCCAGCACAGCAGCATCTGATGAGTGTGTGATTCAGCAAGACCAGCTTTCTCAGAAGAGACACTTGTGCAAGGGGAAGCTGAGGAGCAGGGACCAGAATGCCCAAGCCTGAGAGGCTCATCAGGAAGGAGCAGTTTCCCACCTCTCGGGATGCCAACCATCAAAGCAGAGAGCTGTGGTGGGGTTTTCAACTGCACCTAAAGGACACCCTTCAGCTGATATCCCATTTACTCAAGTGCACCACAAACTAAGGGGGAAAGAAATCATTCCCCAGGCTGTTTTAAGGGAGAGCTGCAGCAGAGAAGCCTTTAAAAACCCCTCCAAAGCTCACTGAAATAACAGAGGCATGCTGCTGTCAGGGGGGTCTGGATCAAGCCCAAGAGGAGAGGGCCAGCGAGGTTTTATTTGCCTCCCACAGCGCATCAGGAGGAGACCTGGGAAGCTGCAGCAGCACCAGGAGAAGGGCTTCTCCTCTTCCCTCCTCCCACGAGCGCAGCCAATCGAGCCGAGCCAGGAGGTGAAGCTCCACAGCAGTAACTCTGCCAACTCGAAGGAAACGTCAGGGTCTGGAGAATTTCCTCACGTGTTTCCAATGTGTTTTTTATGCGTTTTATTGCTCATCTGCCATGCAGATCAAAAACGCTGGAGGGATTCCAACTATTTCACACAGAATCTCACACTCCAGGCTGGCTGCAGCCCCAAAGCCTGAGTTTCTTCACTTGAAATACTGCCCAGTGTTATTTTGGGATGTGACCTGATAGCGGAAGCCCACGGGGACCCTGGAACGATAACTGTTCCAGCTGCGATTGGTTGCCCAACCCTCACTGATGCCAGCATGGGTTTGTCAGTACTGCTGACAAACAAGGACTCAGCAGCTAACACCTTCTTTTCACACCACAACAAAACCATGCCTGAAATCACACAATCTGGTACCCGGAGGAGGGGGCAAGGGAGTTCATCTATCTCAGGGAAAAGGTTGCAAGTCCTGGCATGACCAACACCAGGGAGCTGGTTAGTGTGTGCTGGAAACAGCAAGGCTTCTATGAAAAGAGGAACCACCATTTCACTATCTGATACAAGCTCATTTGTTAAACAAACACAGAGATGAAACAACAAGAAATACTTAAGATCAAGGTAACAAAACCCCAGAGGAGAAGAGATTGAAGGCTCTGCTCTGGCCCATCCCACTGATGTGGAAGAGCCGGAAGACTGACCAGAAAGCAAACTGATCTCCTCACTGGGGACTGCAGCCTTCCTCTACTGCTCCCCTGCCCATGCCCACCCTGAGCGCATATGGAAAGTGTGGGGGAAGAGGGAAGGAGTGCAGACAGGCTGGGATGGTTGTAGGCACTATCAGATCACTAGATAGTGCTCAAGGAAATTATGATCTGGAGACGAGCATGTGGTGGAGCTTGTAAATTCTCTAAGGCCAGTTGCTTCCATAAAGATGCTTGTAAGGCAAGAGAACAATGACTAATTTTATTCCCCAATTCTTTCTGAAAGGGAAAAAGCCTCTTCATTACTTCTGACTAATTGAAATCCCCACTTTCTCTTACAAATTCTTTTTCCCTGCAGTTCCTTTCCACTCATTCAAGAACCATCAACACTTAAAAATCACAAGCTTGTCCTGTCTTTCCCCTTTATTTCCACACCCAAAATACTTCATCCCTCTCTATCACAAGAATTACACAGCTGACTGGCAAGCCAGGATCTCCCTGCTATTTCAGGAAGATGGATAGACTCCTCCTTCTGCCCTGCAGACAACTCAATCTTGCATCCTGTGCTTCACAAAGCACACTATCTCACAACACAAAGCAGCCTGGGGACCCCACCATGCTCCAGTCACACCAAACTCACAGGAAACACCTTGCAAAGCTGACCTGAGATTTCCACAGATGCGATGGAAGGGTCTGGAGGGGGCTCTGCAGCCATTCTTCCTACCCACTGCACGCCCCATCCACATTGCTGCCCCAGCAGAAACCAGAAGCTGGAGCTGGGGAACACAAGTTCAGTTGAAGAGCATTAACTGGATTTCCACTGCATCTAGAGGCAGTTATAATCTGCTGTCTCCAAAGGTTTTCTTGCTGACAAACCAAAGAGAATGGAGGCACGCTGGAAAAGGCCCACACTCCTGCAAGCCCTCCACCACCACCAGCTCTGTGTCAGCTGCCATGCTCTAGAACCCTGACAAAATCCATCAACACACATCAACCACCAAGAGGAAAACCCACCAAGCACCAGCTCTCGGCTCACTGAACCCCCTGGGTGGGACTGCAACCATTTACCATCACCATGAAAGCAAACTATTCCAAAGGCAAAGCACATCTCCAAGTCCTGTCCTACCCCAAAACCACACAACCTGTTAAAGGGATGCCCACCACTCGCCTCGCTCTGCTGTTCTACCATCAGTGATTGTGGAGAAGATAAGAAGTCCATCTTTACAGCACCAAAAGCACCTTCTAGATGATCATCATTCTTGGTGTGCAGATGGGCTGGACAACAGACAAAGGGGATGAAGAAGGAATCGTGCAAGATGTCTCTCCAATAAAACCTCTCACTGCTTCTAGAAGAACATTGCTGGAATTGAGAGCGAAGTGGAAGATGCTGTTTGTTAACATCCCGTTCCAAGTTAGACTTTGGGAAGAGTGAGGCAGAAACCAAACTTACACCTTTTGAAGCTGCCATTTTACCTGTTAAGGATTTTGTGTTCACACACGCGTGGGAAGCGTGCTCATCCACGTGCTCCAGCTACTTCAGATGACTGAAGACTAATCCAACATAACCAAAGCCTAGCAATACAAGCTGGTGTCCCCCTTGGTCACATACAGCTCTCCTCCACTGCCATATAGGTCTGAGGCACTGAGAAGTGTTTTTTTTTTAGTTTAACAGGGAAAGATGACTTTCTCCAGGCATAAGAATCAGGGAATACCCAAAAGAAAGACCACTGCCAAGCCAGCGTGGGCTGCACAGTACACTTCCACGTTTCAGGAAAGCTTTTAAACTCACGGCCTTGCCTCTTCTCTTCTATCACCCTTCAAAATGGGACCTCATCAGCAACCAGAAGGAACAAAGGGATTTAATTATGCAATGAAATCACTGGGTTTGGCCCCTCAGATACATCCCTGGAAGCTCAACCTCTGCTCTTTGCAAGGATCACATGGAAGCAACCACAAACTGTAGACAGTTGTCAGGTTCTGTGGCAAACTCGGCTGGAACCAAAGATCCTGGTTACAAAACTAAGCAAGCAACTGGACCTTTAAGGCCTATTGAATGCCACTTCTCACCCAAGCAGTCCTTAGGTAAAGGTAGTAAATGTTCAGACTTTTACTACTTCAAGGAAGAAACCACCTGCCCACTCAAACAAACACCAGGAAGGCAACACGACCAAGGCTTCAGCTTCTGCTAGCTAGAGCCCATATCCCCTTCCCTTAGCAGAGGCTTAAGCTGCTCTCAGGCATCAGTGCTGACAATTACAAACCTAAGATGGGGACTAGAACACGCAGGAGAGATTCGTTCAGTTTCCTTGCTAAAAAAGAAGCTGAAAAGCTCATTCTTCCTGGCTGGCTTTAGATGAACTGGTGGAAGCCGCTGGCTGTAGCTGCACTGCAGGGAAAAGAGCATTCAGCAAGGAGGCTGTCAGGAGGAGGGGCTCAGAGGCACACCAGAAATTGTACTCTCACTGCACAAAACCAGCTGCTGCTCTAACCCAGCTCAGGAAATCCAGGTGAGCCCGGCTGTTTGGCAGAAAGCAGGGACAAAATCAGGAGGGGAGGACGTCAGCCACGGGGAGTGCTGCAGGCTTTACTACATTCCTGCAACGGGAGCCCTTGTGGAACAGCCGGCGCTGCTACCGCAGCAGCCATTGATTTCGCAGAGGTCGATACTCCACTCCCACAGATCTACTCAGCAGGAGCTTTAATCACATCTACTGCTCCTGCCCTGTGCCCCCCTCCTTTGCTTCCCCCTCCAAACAGCATTACATGGAAGGAGGGACACACACATGTCAAAGGGGCTTTCCTCCCCCTCCAAACACCCAGCACACTAACAACAGCTTTATTCTCGGTCTTTGGAGAGGAGAGCTTCAAAAGCTGAGCTTGCAGCACAAAGTAGAGAAGGAGCAACGTGATTCATGCGCAAAACAAGATGTCGCTGAAGGGAAAACTTCCCCTGTGGAAGGCCAGCATTCCCATTCCAGTGCTGAGCCCTTACCCTGGGAAATGCAGCAGCAAAACTCTCCAGAAGTGTTTCCAATTTAACCCTTTGAAAAGTGCTCAGCCTCTAAAAAGCACTGCCAGGTCTATGTAGACACTGATGCACCATGAACTGTTCCAAGCAGCAGTGGCAAATGCTCAAGTTTTGATTGACAGAGCAGTGTCACTTCAGCTAACACAGAAGTTGCCACAGCAACTTTGCCACACAAAGGATAAAACCTCCAGCTTCAACATTTAACAACGACCCTAGAACAAGCTGCAGGAAAGAATCCCAGCCTGGTTTGGGTTGAAGGGACCCTAAAGCTCATCCAGTTCCAACCCCCTGCCACGGGCAGGGACACCTCCCACTAGAGCAGCTTGCTCCAGCCTGGCCTTGAACACTGCCAGGGATGGGGCAGCCACAGCTTCTCTGGGCACCCTGTGCCAGCGCCTCAGCACCCTCATAAGCATGGAAAGAAGCACAGAGGGCCCCAAGCACAATGAGCAGCAGCAGATGCTCTCAGCAACACTGAGGGTGTTGGGGGTGCAGGGGGAGTGAGACCTACAAGTCGATCCTATCTATGAAAAAGGCTGAGAAACCAGTGTGGGTCTCACATGACAAACTCCAACCCTTTTATTTAAAGAGCTTTAGTTTGTCTTGCAGAGGTTTTTAAGTACTCTCCTTCAGTGTGAAGACAAACCCCAGCTCATCTAAAACGCTAAGTCACGTCAGAGGCAGGAAGCTACCCTCCTATTGCCAGCCATAAGGATATTCCAATTCTCCAGCAGTGCTTCCTCTGGAAGGCGCTTTCCAGTCTCCGATGTGTTCAATTTAGACTCCACAGCATTTAGTCATCTCAGCATGTGATTATGCCACCATGCCAACCACACGAGTTAGGGTGGGCAAAGAAATGCAGCAAAGGCAGGAGTCTGAAATAATTCAAATATTAAAAAGGCTCCTCTTCAGGAGGATATTTTGCATTTTGAGACCACTCAGCTTTTGTTATTCGGAACAATTACAAATGTCAGGATCAATTGCTAAAAAAGCAGAAGGAAGGAAGATTTTAGGAGAGGAGATTTCTAAGGTATCAGGTATTTGCAAGCCTCATGCATCCAGCTTGTCCTCTCGCTAGAAGAAGCTGTTCAAGAGACAGCTCAAAGTCCCAAAGTTCACTGTTACTCTGGGGAAGCAGCAACGGAGTGACACAAGGGGCTACATGAGCCCTTGGGCACAGCCACTTCCAGCCCAATGCCTGTCTGCAATACCAGACCCAAGCCCAGGTACTGCTGGCCTGGATGGGACAGAGAGACTGGAGACACATTTGGAAAGAGTCAAGGAAATTCTGCTCTTGGCCTGACTCAGAGCAGCGAGCGTGCATGGAAGAGGTAACATAACCATGGAAACCTGGCCCAGGCCAGACGCTGACGTATGCTCGGTGCTACCCTGGGGTCAGGGTGCCAGAGCACTCCATTCCTAGAGATGTCGCTCCTTGGCACTTCAGGAAATTCTTTTTCTCTTCTTTTTTCCTTTAAACAGAGGATTCTGTTTCCCTGGGTAAGACCTAACTCAAAACTGAAACCCAAACACACAACTCCTCCTCCACGTTCCAGGACCTCATTTTAAATCACAGCGCAGCGCAAACCCTGTCCCCAAGAGGGGTGGGTACAAGCCCATCCGAGCAGCATGGCTGCAGGAAGGGAGCAGGGCAGACCAAGCCCTTGGCCCTTGCCATGCCCCACATTCGAGCCCCATGTGGAAACAGTTTTCTCCACGGCACTTATGATGTGCTTGTCTCCAAGACAAGTCAATCCAGCATGCCAGAAGGACATGAACAGGAAAATGATTCCTGTAAACTGAAAGCTCATGTGCGGCAGGGTTTAAAACGCATGCGGAGCTGTCAGCCAGAGTTGAACACCTTCATTCACCCCTGCAACCACTCCACGCAGCAGAGGAAGGTCACACCAACAGGGACCCTCCCTCCCCTGCATGGTGCAAGACCTCTGGTAGGGTTAAGTTCTGGTGCAAAGGGATGAGGATGAGTATGTCCAACATCAGACTCACAAGAGGCTTCCGCACGTTTTAAAGGGTCTGCAATAACACCAAATCAGCAGCAAAAAGGAAGTGAAAAACTCATTTCCCTACCCTACAACAAAGAGGAGCTTGTGGAGGGGTCACCCTGCACAGCGCACACCTCAGCAGTCACGGTGCAAGGAGCAGCCCTGGATGCTGAGGCTGCAGCAGCACAAGGGGATGCCTGCGACAGAGCACAAGCTATTGTTCAGGACCCAAGACCAGAACTGGTCATCCTACAGCAATTTCCTATTTAAACACTGACCCGCCTAGTCACTCCGGCCGGGTATAGCAGACCAAGACACCATCCTCTCCTGAGCAAGCTGCGAGCTGTCCCTGCCGCCTGCCTCCGCACGGAGCTCGCCGTCTCCTCTTTCACTTGGGTCCGTAACTGAAATCGCTCCTGAGAAAACGAAAGGCTGGGGGTTAGGGGGGAATCTGTGCGAGGCGTGCAGGCAGGAAGCAGAGCTGAGCTGCTCTCGACCAGAATAGAAACAGGAAACGAGCCCGGCATCGAGCATAGCACAACCCACTGCCAGCGCAGGCTCCTGCGAAGCTGCATCAGCAGCTCTGTGAAGCAGCAGCAGCTCTAAAGGGACGTTTGTTGGCTGTGAAGGTGGAGGGTTCCACGCAGCCCAGAGCCTGGGTGATGCAGCCCGGGACGGGGAGGTTCCTCCTGAGCACTGGGGTCAGATTAGCTCAGTTCCAGGCTGGAGGAAGAGGGGTGGGAGGAGAGAGAATTGCCACATGGACAAATAGCTTGGCAACACTGAGAAGCAGGTCAGAGGAGTGAAACACGTCCCTGGAGTGGCTGGAAGACGAGGGCAGCTCTGGAGGCAGCGCTCCATGCTCTCCACTGTTAGCAAAATAAAAAGGTTTCTTCATAAAGGCATCACCTCCTCAAAACCCCTGCAGAAACGGTGCCACAGTCACACACCAACAACCCTTGGTCAGGAAAAGGACACGTTTCAACTCCCTGCATCATCATAACTTGGGACAGAAACCTTCATATCAGCATAAACTGAAATGCACAGAGCTCTCTCGTACCAGTGTTTCAGGTATTGTGCTCCTCGGGCAAGCCTCCAGGTCCTCCTGTGTTTATCTGCACATCCAACTGTGATCCCCAAGCACCACAGCATGCAACTATCCTGCTTTGAAATGCACACACCACTAATCCCTCTCTTAAGGCAAGCAATAAGACAAGCTCAAAAGGCCAAATAACAAACCAAACAGAAGCAGGAAGTCCTGTATGGAAAAAGAGCTTGAAGTGACCATCAGATCCATCTAGAAAAGGTTCTTTTCCCCTCAAAACATTGACAAAATGATTCATTTTAAGCCCAAAGAGTTCACTTCTTGGGCTGCACCTTCCTTCCCATCCACAGCAGCTCTGAGACAGTTTTGTGCTGCATTTCAGCCTGTTGCAGTGATCATTTCCAGGTCAGGGGACACAGCTGACACAGCTCAACTTTATTGCACTTGAAGCACCTCCAGAGTACAAGCTGAAATGAACCACTTGGTAAGAACAAAACATCCAAATGGTGCTTCTGTGACAACATCCAGCACCCACATTCACAAACCACTTAAGAAAGGCAAAAAAGTCCCCCACAATTGCTGGGGAGATATTCACTGCAGGGTCTTTCTGCAACAGCCTCAACTCTGCAGCCTCATCCCTCTCCCCTCCCCACGAAACCCGATTCTCCTAAATCCATACTGCAAAGACCGAAGACCAGGACGTGCATTCCAGAGTTGAACAGGATCAGGAATTGGTTTCCAGTTGGTTATATTCCTTTCTGCCACTGTTCAGCTCTAAAGTCAGAGATGAACCCAAGTGAGACGCAGCTGAACAAACAAAATGGGTCTCCAATAATGCAAAATACAGAGCTTAAAACAACTCCCACTCCACACCAAGCTGAAAAGAAGTTGCCCACAATAGGGAAGGGGTTTCTCCTTCTGGCTGTGCAGTACACTGACCAAAAAGAAGCAAGGACATTGCGGGGTGGGAGCTCTGAAACCTGCCCCAGTTTGCTTCGTGATGTATTCACTGCAACTCAACTGGAGCTCAAACACAGCTTTGCTGTTGGGAGCTCCAAAACCTTGCCACTGTCTGTCCCTCCTGGTTTGGCCACACTTCCTACCCCACGCAGAACCTCTCCTATGGAAACACTGCTGGAAACAATGCCTCTCACAAATGTTCTGGTTTGCACTGATAGGAAAGCTTCTCTGAAGAAATCCCAGAAGGTCCAGTGAAAAGCAAATACAAACCAATACATAATGGTATCAAATCGGTTTTGCTCTATAAATGGCTTTTAGGGCCAAGCTGGAAGTCCCAACACCACAGATACCAACTTCTGTGGTTAGGAAGGTATAAACAGCCCGGTGTGAAAACCACTGTCTGAATGCTCTACTCCTCCTCCACCTCAAAGCCATCAGAAACTTGCATTCAACTCCTTCAAGGCAGCCCATCAGACAGAGTTTGAGGCGAGACAACAATCTGTTGCATATTCCATAACAAGACACAAAATTCCTCACAATGAGCCTAAAACTCCAGAGAACTTTGCAAAAGAACTCATTTGCAATCCAAACCCAAATGGATGTCCCAGCATCCTATTTGCTCCCCCTGTACTTGCTACCAGCACCTTCCATGTCTAAGCAGAAGGCAATTAGTAGCTGGAAATATGTGATTCCTACAGACTCAGAATCCAAGCCTCCAAAGGTAAAAGACACTGAATAAGCTGGATATGACTTGCCAGGGAGAATCCTCTGCTAAGAAGAAGGGACCAGGGAATCTCCTGGGAGAAACAGATTTATACTAAGGATTACTATTCCTCTGTTACACCTAGACACAAAAGACTACATTTCTCCCATACCCAGTTGCAAGCTAAGTTTACTTGAGCTGCAATCCTGACAGAGATTCCCTAGGGAAGCAGCAAACTCTTCAGAGAAGTTCTTCACCTAGCCTGCTACAGGAAAAGAGTAACAGACAGGACACTCATGTGGATGCATTCCTCTTCAAAAGGCATCAGTGAGTTCAAGTTAGCAGGAGCATTCACCCCCAAAACCAGCAAGCATCATCTTCAGAAAGAGAATAACAAATCAGGAAACACCTAAACCAGGACAGCATATACCCAAGCAGAAACAGAACACCAGACATTCTGCTACTTACAGACAAAGCATTAGAGAAATCAGTAATTTCACTCTTCTGATGTCAGGGGTCTGAATACAGGGACACCACCAGGAAAAAGTCTGGTTAGTGACACAAAAACCATTGTCAGGAGGGTATCTGGAAGACAATCAATGTGGTGGACCTTAACAAGGCCACAGGAATTGAACAATGTGACAATGTCGCCATCCAGGAGATGACCACATACCGCAACACTGATAGGATGAGTCACAGAAATATTCCCCCCTTTACAACTTACAACTCCAACATTAGTGATGATGTCCAATATTGATGTGTAAAGGCACTGGGCACACAAAAGCCTAAAAAGCTGCAACCTCCTTTTCCTGCTGGAGCTGATCCCTGTTTAATTCGAGATGATGCCTGGCAGGATTTACCCTCATTCCAAGATGCCCAGTGAGCTATTCCACAGCCCCCAGTGAGGCTTGGGAAAGGGCTCCGAACTCCACAAAAAATTAAAAGCCCACAAACTAACTATGCTTCCCTAAGTCATCCATAATGGCAAAACAGGGATCTAGGAATCCTCCTGAGCAGGATAAAGCTTTCTAAACCAGACAGACTGAGCAGTATAAGGAAGATAAAAAGAAATTGATTGCACCCTTCCAGGTAGCTCTTTTCTTTCTAAGCATCCCCAGGCCAAACTTCATGCAAGAGACTGATCACTGAAACAAAAGAATTGGTTTCCATACACCTGGGAGGACCTCCCTTTATAACAGTCCACAGCATCACTGTCTGATGCGTTTCCCAGTTGACAGACAGGGAATGCTGCTCTTGTCCTACAAGATCCTAACAAGGAGACACATTAGGAAGCACATACAAGAACAAGGGTGAGTTTCTGCAAGGGGGGCTCCCTTGTTTAACTTTTGCCTACTGAAAAAGAGAAGGCCCAAAACCACACTGGGGTTGGGTAAGCTGAAGGCTGCTTCGTTTCTTCAATGCAAATTATTTGGTGATACAGCCAGGGAAACAAGCTGACTATTAAAGTCTGTTCAAAACAGAAGCAAGCTTTAGAGCTGGCCAATTCTAGGAGCTAACCCCATTCTTTGTACCCTTCAGCAAATCTCTGAAGGCCCTGATGAGGAACTGGTGGACATTTAATACTTCAAACCTGGATGCAATTCCTTCATGCTTACAGCAGAGATGGCTACCTTTTCTTCAACTGCTTGGGAAAAAGGAACATTTGAAAGGGGCCACATACATTTTAACCACAAGGTATAAAACAAACTCCCACTTGGTGCCGAGAAGGAGCCACTTCTGCTAAGCAGAGCAACTAATTCCTATAATCTGAGTCAGAGGGCGCTGATTGGTAGGATTCAGGAAGGCCCCATCAACAATGCCACTGAACAGGACTTCCCACCGTTCCCAGCTACAGCAATTTCTTCAATTACTTCAGTGGCTTCACTTTTCCTACAGTCTTTGCCAGGAGATGGGTCACATGGAAGAACTTGTGGAGAGGCAGAGTGGAAAGAAACATGCTATTTAAAAGGATTTTTTTCCCCCCAGGCCTCAGAACAAATTAAATCTTTGTAATCAGGGTCCAAAAGGATAAAAAGAAAATGGGAAAAAATAAAAGGGAAAAGAAAGAAAAAAGAAACAACCCACAACTACTCCCATTAGGTGGTCAGAACTAGAATCACTTTGTATTTTGGGTGACAATTTGTACCCACAATCCAAAGGATTTATTTCAAGGGGCTCCCAACAAAGCTGTTCTCATTGCTGAGGGCAAAAATAACTTCGCTATACACACAGCTCACTCTCCTCACACCGACCCAGCTGCAGCTTAGAAACCTGATTTAGCCAGTGGCTAAACAACAAGAAATGAAGGCTCACTCACTTCCTACTATTTCCAAGGAAAGCAACCAGGTAAATCGAAACTCAGCAGCTCAAAACTTTGCCTCCAAGTCAGAGACAGAGACCAACATGTGGAAACTGATCTAAAGTTTTAACCCTTCTCTGTTTTCTTGATGAAGTTTGGACCCGAAGTTAAATCTAGTCCAAAAAGCTACAGGAACACTAGGCACCCATCTCATACCCAAGTTCACTGTACATACAGCAAGCAGATCCAGAATGCAAAAGAAGATATAATTTTCCATCTGTGAAGGAAGGAGCTATCTGTGACTGATCCTCCTCACTCCAGGTACTAATAAACTTGCTTTTTCCCCCCAACTGTTCAGTCAGATTGGAGCAAAGAAGCTTAAATCAACAGTGTAAGAATCCAATGACACAGAAAGGGAACCAGGCTCTTAGCCACCAGCACAACAGTGGGCTGAAGGAAAAAGAACATAACATACAAGTGAGACACTTTCCCCCTGAAGGTCGGGGTTTGCTCTAACAGGTACTTCAGGCACTGCAAACAGAAAGCTCCAAAATACAATCTTTTAGCTGGAACACGCAGACCAGAGGATTCAGGGTTAAACTTCACTCTCAAATCCATTACTTTTGTAAATTACATTTAATCTCCAGTGGGAAGCCAGAAGCTAATGACTTAGTAAAAAGCACAGGCAGCCTCCATCATTCCCATTTCCATGTGGAATACTACCAGTGCTAATTTATCCTGCTGTGCTCCTGATTGCCCTCGCCCCAGTCGCTTCTAGATCAGCTCACCACTCACCGGCAGGCTAGAAGGTCTGGACTGAAGATTCAAGTTCATATCTTCTTGCCCTTTACTGGAAGCCATTGAGGGAGCAGACGATGCCTGGGACCCAAATGAGTCTTGAGATAACTCCTGAAACATCAAGAAACACCAAAAACCCACAAAGGGGAATAAAATAAAGCCTCTGCCAGAATCACTCTGGTAAATTCTCACATTGTGGAAGAGTTCTGCACCCTTGGTGACATTTGCCCAAACCAGGAAATCAGACAGCAAAGAGTACAAGCGACCAGGCACAGGGCTCTGCAGGAGGACAAACACTGCAGCAGACACCTAGAACATGACAAAACACCAACTCTCTGGTTTTCCCTTATTACAGATCCTGAAGAACAGGGACTGTCCTGGGTGGCTGCCCACTTAGCTTCCTCATCTTCCAACGTCTTACCATAGCTCCAAGTGCTTCATTACACAAACAAGGCAAATCAGTGACAATCTTCAACTTCTCTAAAGCTACCTTTGATTCACTGCAATGTTTGCTGAAAGGTCCCTGCCAGCTTCTCACACAACTACTACCAGAGTAAGCCTTGCTGAAAAGTACAATTTACATAAAGAAACAGCTTCATGATTTGATCTGCAATTCCATACGCTTGACACTTTACGTCTCCTCCCTAAAGCCAAGTTTTACAAGTAAGAGCTAACTGCTCCCTCACGATCCACGAGTCGCGCTGCTTTTTGTGCTACACCAAGTAACTCTGGAGAACACCTGGAGAACTTCCACAGGCCACAAGGGGAAAACTATTACATTATGAAATCCTTCAGACTCGGGTGGCCGATCAGCATTTACTCAACACTAGTCTTCAAAACTGTAGTATCACCACCGTAACATCCCTCTGTGAGGGATACAGATCTAGACACGACAGAAAAAGCAGCACACCTATTACTGTCATCATTCCAGCCAGCCTGCTGATGTGGTGTTCAACCGACTTTTAATGCACAAAGGAAAGGATCTGCCCAAGTTAAAAACCACTCAGAGAAGGAACCAAAGCAGAGGACGTCCTACCTGAGGAGGAGGGAAGCGTTGCTGGGAGTATGCAGACTGCTGCTGCTGCGGCTGTGACTGAGGGTATGAAGATGACTGCTGAGAAAGAGCCGAGGAAGCTGTCTGCTGAGTTTGTTGCTGCTGCTGGTAGGGCGACTGGGACTGCTGCTGGGAGTAGGGAGGCTGACTCTGTTGATGCTGCTGGGCTGAGGACTGCTGCTGAGGATATGGAGTTGGGGACTGCTGATGGGGAGGCTGGGACTGCTGCTGGGAATACGCAGGCTGCGATGTCTGAAGCTGTGGAGGTTGAGACTGAGGCTGTTGCTGCTGCTGATAAGAAGGCTGAGAGTGAGGGGTCTGGGATGGAGGCTGCTGAGAGTATGGAGGCTGCTGCTGTTGGGGATGAGGGCTTTGCTGGTTGTAATACGGAGTCTGGCTTTGCTGCCCATATGCACTGGGGCCCTGCTGTCCATAAGGAGGAATCTACAGACAAAAAAAGAGAGTTATACCAGTTATGAAGGTTGTTTTACACACACAAACTAAGATTATGCTCAAGAACTAAAAATTCAGAGACCTGTGCAGAGCAGCTGACTGGGAACATACTGGAAATGCCACTACCTAGATACTTCCCAGAGAACAGCAGAAGCCATTCATGTGTGACATCATTCTTGGCAGTAACAGCATTTTAATAAGGCACCATAACCAACTTTTTAGGGATCCTTATTTGACCACCCTTCAACATTAGTAACATTGAAAGGAAAGACTGCTTGCTCCAGAAAAAGGCAGCCTTTTCAGCAGTCCTGCACACAGTCCAGCAGGAGCCACCTGGATCATGTCATGAGCCAAAACTGACCTGAAGTCATTTTTTCTGTAAAGAACAGCCATGTCTTTAACAGAACACAGCAGAAAGAGTATCTTACTCCTCTTGCTATTTATTTGTCCCTTGTTTCAGTGCCCTGGCATTGCCTCTCCTGGAAGCAAGGATTCCACAGGTCCTTGTACATCAGTCACACCTGGATCCAGGTGTGGTGCAACACATAGCCTGAAGAAATGCCATTTTCCCAAAGCAACCGATTCCAACCTGGTTGACGTGATCCCTTCAGAAGACACAGTACTCTGCTGCTCTTCTGCCTGCCCCTGCTGTGAACAGAGACTACCGAAGCTTGGGTGCTCTACCTGCTGTGCATATGAGATGCTGCCCATTGTACTTTGCGTCCTGCTTTGCATTCCCATGGGGTATCTCTGGGGAGTTTGCGGTCCATAGGGCTGTCCTGGATAGCCATGTCCTTGCTGTGGCCCAGCCTGAGGTCCCTGTTGTTGTGTGTAAGGGTTGTTTCCTCCATACGGCTGAGGCCTCATCTTCCCCATCTGATCCATTGGGCTCGAAGGCTGCAAAGCAAATCACAACACATGATGCACATCCAGCTACATCCAGGAATCGTTCACAACTTCCCCAGTCCCCAGAAGAAAGCTTCAACAGGTTGGCGCAGGGAAGCAGCAGCTCATCTGCCTCTTCCCAGGTGCTAAACCCCACAGTCACATTCTGAACTACGGCAGGATTCCTGCTGCCCTTTCACACCTACAGACACAAAGAACAAGCCCAAGGAGAAGAGGTCATTTTATGCTGATGTATCTCCCGTGGCCAGAGGACAGGAGAGAAAGGGGGAAGGATCATTAAGAAAGACGAATTATCAGTGGCAGTGGCTTTTCCCATAGCAGGCAGTAGTTTAATATCCAGATATTCCACAACAAGGTGCATTTAGGCTGAAAATGTAAATGCTTCTTTCACATGTAACAATGTCTCCCAAAACACTACAGGCTATTAACTTACACGCTTCAGTTAATCCATACTGATGTGTTAATATCGGGCAGTGCTACTGACATTCACAGCATTCAAGCCTGCAGTTCCAGTTCTGTGTATTTCACCTGCACACGTGCTTTGTGTGTGCTGCCTTTGCAGCAGAAAGGGTCCTAAATCAAACTTCTCTGGAGGCATGAGAACAGAATTTGTCAGCTTTGAAAGACGGGGCCCTGGGTCTGAGCCCAGACGTGATGAGACAAGAGAACAAATGCAACTTCCCTGGGACTTCCTCGGACTACCCCTGCCTGGAGCCAAGCCATAAGAACAGTCAGTCAAATGCTCTCGAAGTGCTATCAAACTCCAAACAAGAGTCTTGCTACCTAAGCGGTGCTCCTTCCACACTAAAGCAAGGACTGTTCTGCTGTAGTGACCTCCTAAATGAATCCCAGGCGCAGTCTTTAACCTCCATCGCTCAGACTGAATACGAATTGTTCCGCTGATCTCCCGATGACCTAAGTAATACCAATTAGATGTTTTCCACCAGATCACCATGACAATGGGCTCTCTATTACACCATTCCTTCCTGCAACTAGCCCTAGGGTGGTATTTGTACAGATCCACCCTCTCTTGCTGAGATCAGGTGCTTGAGGAGTGGCACAACAGGCCTGCACAAGCAAGTATCGCACAAAGCCAGCTCCTGCTGGAGACCAGAACAGGGTTTTAGTTATGTCTGCAGAATCCACCCTTCCGAAGGGAAAACGAAGTTTGTGCAGCATGCTCCACTGGAGAAAACCCTGCCCCACCAGCCAGCGCAGCTTGAAGTCCCAACACACAGACCATGAAAACATTTGTTTGACCAGCTGTCTGCTCCGGCTTGCCTGCCAAAGCAAAGCCACACAGCACCGAGGCCATGCCAAGCCCAGAGAAGCAGGGACACGACGGGGAGTTAATGGTACTCTTGTGGGGCAACAGATCTGGGCCATAGGAGGGAGTTTAGTGTGGACGGCAGGAAAAGCACCCCAGGTTTGGTAAAGGGGGGGAACGCACTCAAGTGAAATCAGGCTCCCTGAGACAAATTTGCACCAATATGGCATAAATCAAGAACCAGGTCCAAGCCCCCTTCTCCATCCCAGTTCAGCACCAGACACCTCAGACCGGTGCCTGCAAAACCAGTGTGTGCCATCCTACGGAAGCTGTTCACCAACGACCACGTGCACGGCACCAGTGGGATTCCCTCCCTCAAGGCAGGTTTTAGATGCCATGCCCTGCTCAGTTGTGCTGGATGTTTCCAGTTTTGTCCATACTGATACTAAAACAGTTCTGAAAGTCACATTTTATGGTTTATGTTCAAGTTATCACCCATGCTACTGCTGAGGAGCAACAGCGTACTGAGAGGCTGCTGGACCTCAGACCAGGAAGCCTGGAGAAGCCCTGGATCCCTGTACTCCCAAATGGCCACACAGCACAGACCATGCCGTGTGCCCACAGAGGGTTTTGAGCCATGCTCTAAAAAGGAGCTTACATTCAAAGGGTCAAGATAAAAAAGAGGCTTTTGATGGCTGTAGTCTGAATCCTTGGAGCTACAGGGATACCTCCTGAATGGGAGCACCCATGTGGAGCCTCCATACACCCTAACGGATGCAAATTGTGTTTACATCTTTCAAGCAATTGTCCCTAATGCAAGTCTTGCCTTGTGGGTATCACCTTAGATTACTGACATCTTTCTCCCTCCCCACAGTATCTTCTTTGGTATGTAAAAACAGCTGCTTCCCAGCCCCTGGCTTTTGACAAGTCAAAGCTCTCTCTCACCACCCCCTGAAACACAAAGCTCTTTCCTTCTACCTGATCAAATGCAACTTTGGAGACACTCAATGAACGTTTCAGCATCTTTTCTGTTTGTTACTTGCTTCCTCCTAGTTGTTACCTCACCTTCACAGCCCCGCTACCAAGGGCAGCTTCTCAAATACATTCCTGTTCAGGGATGTTCTGTCGGCTTTTTTTATATCTTAAACACACACACACACACACACACACCCCCCACATGCTGCCTCCTCTGCACAGATTTTCTTGTCTGTGGTCACCCACAAAGCTAACCATATCTTCAGGAAGGATAGGAACAAGGTGAAGATCCACTTTTCCATGGCTCCTACAGGAAGCATGATGCCTGTTCAAAAACTTCAAGCAACATTTGGAACTGTTTATGCAGCCATTGAAAAGAAAAACCCCCAAACACAAAACCCAAACGTATTTCCAGGATGTGACCAAGTCGTCACCTTGATTGCTCAGCGTAGGAGTGCACGATGTGCTTCCAAACTGCGCTGCTCTGAGCTGCTGCTCTTCCACAAGGCCCTAGCGTACAGAGGATGCTAAAAACAAACATGAAGAGCATCACTCTAAATTACAGCCTTACAGATACAATTCTATAAACAGAAGATATGCAAACGCCAATTAATCTCTAATGATGGAACTCATACACACATTCCCGACCTGTTGCAAACCAACAGGGTGGTTTGTGCTCCTCTGGGGCTGCTGGGTACATCTCAAATGCTGTGACACATCGTTTCTTCCTTCAAAATCTCCTGTTAAAGACAGCCCTTTTGCTAACGGGGGCTTTAACTGCGCTCATTTTAGCGGCATCGCTCTGGCTTAAAGAGCCTACCATCAGGAAGTCTGCCTAAATCTGCTCCCTCAAGCCTTTTGGGTTAAGTCACAGTCTAAGCTGAAGCGCAGTGAAGTGTGGATCGATCCCAGAGCTCATGTGAAGGCTGCGGGGGGAGCAGAGGTGCTGCCCAGCTCCTTTGTACACCCATGTTACACAAGGTGGGTAAGGCAAGAGGAAGCCTGTTCGCCTGCAAGAACACTTCAGGATAAATAAGGAAATACCAAACCCCGACTGCAAAAGGCTGGAGATTCTTCTCTGGACTGATACATGGGAAATCCTTTCAATAGGAAACCACAGGAGTAGATTACTGTGATTACACTTCAAAAGCAAAGGCCCTGCCACAGAGAGACATAATTGAGAGAAAGTGTTGCTCCTTGATCACTGAAGTCCAGACCCCCTGCTAACATCTCCTTGCATTCATAGAAATTGCTTCTATTCTCCCTTCAATCTCGTTATCTCTGCTGTTTTATAACACTCTTAAGTACCCAAACTTGGCAAAACACAGCCCTGTCACCAGTGGAACTTTCCAAAGCAGAGCGGTGTGTAGCGGAAGCAGCTGGTGCTCCAGAGAAATGCTGAGCTCTCCAGAAAATGTAAGGTATTTCTAGACCAAGAGCTAGTAACAGCAAGCCCAAAGAGAGCTTAAATTGCCGCGTTCAAAAGCTTTCCGGAGCAGGATGTGTAGTGTAAGGGATGTGTCAGACCCCTAAAATGAAACAGCACTGTGAAAATCGGCTCTCCTTCAACAAGCAGCCAGAGTTTTCCTTAAAAAACAAGTATCAAAAGAGCTTTGAAGCAGACAAGAGGATTCCACAAACAATTCCCTTCTGATTTTGTCCAGCAGCAGAGAAGTTTGGCCTCCTGAGGTTCAGTTGGAGGGGACTCACTTAATGGCCTCAGCAGGAAAACAAGGAAAGGAAAGAGGCAAATCCCACTTTGGAAGCAAGAGCCAAACCCTCCACAGCTGTACAGAAAAATGTAATCCTGGCTTTCCCCGTTACCTTCTTCCATTTGTGTTCTATTACACCAGAGGAAGAAGGGGAAGCAGAGAACTCTCCAGTTTCAAATCAGCGTCATTCCATTATTGGCAAACGTGGGGATCGGCCACAACCGCCCCCAGAAACTGGAAAAGCCACAAAACCAGTACTAAAAGCCCCAAGCCCTCACCTTGGATTCGCAGTCTTTTCCTGCCTAGATGTGGGGTTTGTGATCAAAACTGAGCAGCAGCATTCCCGGCTGTTTAACCCGGAGAAGCCCTAATTGATTCCCACAGTCATTAACCTGCATTTTACCTCGGAGAGTGGTAGTTAAGGAAGTCGGCACTGCTATTTATAACTCATCTCAAATTGAGGGCAGACTGCCTAAAATCTAACACATCCCAGCTGTACTCCTGTTTGAACTGGGGCCAAGGGAATTTTTTAAAGCAATCTTGGCACTGAATGAATGACACCAACAGTATGAGCGCGCGTGTGGTTGTGTTGTGGTGACGTAGCGCTGGAGGTGGAAGGGGAAGGGGGGGCAGCACGCTGTAATCCCTCTCTCCCAAGCCTGCTCGCTGTGTACAAGGCTCGGCCCCGGGCCGGTACGAGGCTCCGGAGCCGCCCACCGAGAAGCAAACACAGGAAACGGCTTTTCCTGCGCAACGCCTTGGAGCGAGGAGCACATGGCTAATCTGCATAAAAGCAAAGCCACACCACTCCTGCCAGGAAGGTTAGTGCTCATAATCTCTGGCCATGGAGCTGGCTGCCTGCGAGGACTTGGACCCGAGCCTGATAACCCAGAAAGAGCTGAGAACAGATGGGCAAAGACCCCGGCAGAAGCAGCGGCGCGCACGTGATGAGCCACATGGCCCCGCCAGCACTAAAACTATTGTTTGGCTGCTGAGAGCCGGTACAAAGCCAGGCCCGAGCGGGCCCTGCGAGCTCA